ACAGAGTATGTATACCGCTTGACAAAAAAGCAAATTGCCACGTAATATGCATCATATGAATAAATCTTTGTAAAAAAAAAGAAAATTTAAAAAATCTTTATAAACATGCACACCCATGTCTGTATGTACACAGGAAAGGAAAGGTCTAGAAGGCTTTCACTAAGGGGCTTTTTTTTTTTTTTTTTGGTACTGGGGCTTGAACCCATGGGTGCTTTACCTCAATCCTTTTTATTTCTTATTTTGAGGCAGGGTCTCACTAAGTTGCTAATTGGCTTACCAAATTACTGAGGCTGGCCTTGAACTTGCAATCCTCTGGCTTCAGCCTCCTGAGTCTCTGGGATTACAGGTGTGCATCACCACACCCAGCCAACATGTATTAATTTTTAAATGAAAAAAATAGACAACAACAACAAAGTAAACTCAGTTCAGGAAGCCTGGCGTGAAAAGGGAAGCAACATGCTTGGGTGAGCTCAGTGGCCGAGCGCTGGCTTAGCATATGCAAGGCCCTGAGTTCCATCCCCAGCACCTAAAAAAAGGGAATTGGGGGCRCTGGGGTTGGGCTCAGTGGTAGAGCGCTTGCCTAGCATATGTGAGGCCCTGGATTCAATCCTCAGCATCACATAAAAATAAATAAATAAAATAAAGGTATGGAAAAAAAGGGAGGGGGAATGGATTAAAACCTTCCCCCCATTATCTCCTGTTCCTTTCCAGTTTTTTCCTGTCAACTTATCCAAACAAAGAAATAATAATGCTATTCTCTACCTTCCTTTCTTAGGTTTGGGAAGACTGCAGGAATTTTTTTTTAATATTTATTTTTTAGTTGTAGTTGGACATGATACCTTTATTTTGTTTATTTTTATGTGGTGCTGAGGATCGAACCCAGGGCATCGCATGTGCTAGGCAAGCACTTTACCACTGAGCCACAACCCCAGCCCCCCCAAGGACCATTTTTATTATAGGTGGGAGGCCAGGGCAGAGGACCACAAGATTAAAGGCTCCACCCAAGTCCCAACCAATAGCAAATGACCTTTAAGATCTATTCTGTTCATTCAGTCTTCTTGTTGACACAGATACTGGCTGGTTTCTTTGTGGTCCTTGTTCCCAGGTGGAACTGAAGCTCTTATCACTGAGGCATCAGATCTGTTGCCTCCTGAGGCTGCCAACCTACTTATTTGCTCTAGACCTGCCCAGCAAAAAGGTGACTCCCCCAGTTCTTACCGTGGGAATCCACCCTGGAATTTTGTCCCTTTCTCCTTCCTTCTCTTTCATGTGTGCCAAGTGGTCAGTGGGGTGGAGTGAGACCGTGGGAGCAGTAGACCATGACCGAAAGAACACAGGCTTGGGAGTGAGACAGATTTGGCATAAAATCCTGCCTGTCATGATTAACTGCACCATGTTGGGAAATTCTCTCCCTCTCTCTCTCTCTTTCTCTTTTTTGGTGGTGCTAGGGATTGAACCCAGGGCCTTGTGCATGTGAGGCAAGCACTCTACCAACCAAGCTACATTCCCAGCCCAGAAAATTCTCTTAATCACTGAAAATTTCTTAACTTTCTTGAACCTTGGCTTTTGCTTCAGTAAAATGAGAATAAAACCTGCCTCACAGGGTTGTGACAAGGAATATGAACGATGAAAAATGCTTAGTGGAGACGAATACCTATAATCCCAGTGATTTGGAAGGCTGAGGCAGGAGGATTACAAATTGGAGGCCAGACTCAGCAACTTAGTGAGGCCCTGGGTCAAAATAAATTAAAAAATAAAAGGCTGAGGTGTAGTTCAGTGATAAAGTACCCTTAGGTTCAATTCAAGAAAGAAAAGAAGGGAAAAGGGAGGAAAGAAGGGAGGGAAGAAGAAAGGAGAAAAATGCTAAGTATCTTAAAATGGTGAGGCTGACTTGGGAGGTAGCTAATGATTATTAGGTGGCAAGAGATGGGCTTTCCCCGGTGGGGTGGGCAGAGCCCACCAAGGTAAAGTTTCAGTTGTGCTGTTTCTAACAGGGCTGACTTCTGCACTGGGCAAGGTGCCTAGGGTACACAGAACTTTTGTGGGCCCGTGAAAATGCTTTTTAATGATTTTAATTTTAATTTCCTTTAAAATTTAAGAAGAAACAACAAATTTTAGGTTAAATAATATTAATGTTGCTATATTGATTATTAACTATAGGTAGATAATATTATTATATCTTCCTTATGCCAAAGCAATTATAAAATACAATTTTTAACTTTTTTTTTTTATGAAGAAACACACAAAGGCAAATGTGCCAAGGGCCAGAAAGGTTATACATCAGCCTCACTTTCCACCCCTAAAGGATATCTCCTTTAGGATATCTCTACAGTTTGGGCAGAGGGATAAGGAGGAGGCATTGGCAGGAAAGGTGGAGTGAAGAGCTGGACCCTTGATCTCATCCTTCAAAGAATAAGCTGTCTTCCTGTCCGTGATTGCTATTTTTYTTCTTCTTCTTCTTCTTTTTAATACCTTTATTTATCTATGTGGTGCTAAGAATCAAACCCAGTGCCTCACATATGCTAGGCAAGTGCTCTACTACTGAGCCACCACCCCAGCCCCTGTGATTGCTATTCTTTTCTCCATTTCTGTTCCTGAACTTACATTTGCTTGGACCCTGTGGGTAGGTATTTATATGTCCTAAAATATCAGTCATTGGGTCAAGAATGTAAATATYAACAAAACAACAATATAACAACTCAATTAAAAGATGGGTAAAGACTTGAACAGACACTTTCCCAAAGATATCCAGATAGCCAATAAGTACACAAAAAGATGCTCAGCATCACTAATCATTAGGGAAGTGTGAATCAAAACCACAGTGAGATACTACACTTTACACCCCGTATGACTACTCCAAAAACCCTAGAAAATAATAAGTGTTCATAAGATATGAAGAAATTGGAACCTTTGTACATTGCTGGTAGGAATGTCAAATGGAATAGCCACAAGGAAAAATGGCATAGTGGTTCTTAAAAAAAAAATTAAACATAGAATTACCACATAATACTGCAATTTCACTTCCAGTTATATATCCAAAAGAACTGAAAACAGAGACTTAGACAGATATTTGAATACCCATGTTCAAAGCGGCATTATTCACAATAGCCAAAAGGTAGAAGCAACCCAAGGGTCCAACAGAAAAATGGATAAACCAAATGTAGCATATACATATGATGGACTATTACTCAGATTTAAAAAGGAAGGAAATTCTGACAGATTCTACAACATGGATGAAGCTTTAAGGCATTATGCCAAGTGAAATAAGCCAGATGTAAAAGGACTAAAATTATATTACTCTATTTATATAAGGTACACAGAAGAGTCAAATTCATAGAAATAGAAAGTAGAATGGTGGTTGCCAGGGGTCAGGGGAGGAGAGAATGGGGAGCCAATGTTTAAACGGGGATGGAGTTTCATTTGGGAAGATGAATGGATGGTGGTGATGGTGGCACAACAATGTTTATACTTAATACCACTAAAGTATACACACAAAAATGGCTAAATGTTAACACTTGTAGTATTTATATTTTACCACATATTTTTGAAAAGGAAGAAAGAAAAAAATGTAAATAGTTCCCCTTTGCTCAGCTCTTAACCAGCCATGCCAACCGCCCAAGTATCACCTCTTTCCCCCCATGGGCAGTTCATTCTGGAAGTCCCCTGTCCTCTCCTGCTGAACACTCTCCTGGATAAGCCCCAGTCTCTATAGCTTCACACWTGGCACTACCATCATCTAAATGATGTATTTAGATGCATCCCTTTTTGCCTGGACAAACACTCATATCCTGCCAAGGATGCTCAGATCCCTTTCTCACTGAGGGGTCTCAGTGGATTGAGCTGGACTTTTGCTTATTTTTCCTTTTTCTTAGCCTTCTCACCAGACAACTACAAGTCTGAACTGTATTCATCACCATTCATAGAAAACACTGTCTTGGACTTCCCTGGGGGTTATCATTTGCCCATTTTCATATCAATAAACAGGAATGTTGGTTCTAATGACAAATGAGACTGTGCATATGAAAATGAAGGAATATAGGCCAAGCAGTTCTTCCTCTCTCACCCTGTCTAGCAAATGCAATCAACAGCGGGGTGCAGTGGTGCACGCCTGTAATCCCAATGGCTTGGGAGACTGAGACAGTTGCCAGACTTGGCAACTGCAAGGTACTAAGCAACTCAGTGAGACCCTGTCTCTAAATAAAATACAAAATAGGGCTGGAGATGTGGCTCAGTGGTTGAGTGCCCCTGAGTTCCATCCCCGGTACCAAAAAAAAAAAAAAAAAAAAAAAACGTAAATATCTCATAGTTTGTTTGACCCAGCCTGATTATAAAACGGAAGCTGAGAATCCATTTTCAGTGTCATGAGGTAGATCTCTGCCAGAGCATACTTCCAGGGAACAATGGGGTTTTGATACTGGGTCTGTGTAAGTGGAGTGGAATTAGAAGATAGAATCCCTTTCCAGGGAAAGGTGGGTTTCTAACTAGTACTCAATGTTACTAGAGCTTTCTAGATACTAGGCATTGTTCTAGGTGTTTTATATGGACTATCTCATTTAACTGGACAAAGAGCCTCATAAAATTTTCCTTATTTTACAAACCAGGAAACTGGAACTTAAAGGTTAGCTATACTATCTTTTGCCTCCCTATCTTTGAAAGGTTCCTTTTCCGTGTTTAATTATGGGGGTTGCTGCCACACTCTTTGCCACACCTATGAATGATTAGAGGAGTGAATGTAAAGCTGCTCYTTTAGGCTTATAAAGAACTTCATAAAGTCAAGGTTATAAAGCTTTAAGTAGTAGGGCCAGAACTCTCCTGGTCCAGGAGACTTCAGAATAAAACTGCCCTAAGGGGCACACTCTGTAGCCTCYTGCTTTCCAGGATGTTTTCTTGTGTGAGGCAAGCAGGGAGGGCTGAGGCCTCTGAGAATTCCAGGYCTAGTCTAAGGGTAGGAGAGGTAGAACAATCCTCTTGCTACTGGGTTAGGCAAGGCCTTCACCTACCTCCAGGAGAAGGCGTAGTCGGGAGGTCAGTCATTGCTGCCAAGGGATAAGTACCTTGCAGGAGAGGCAGATCTGTAGGAAGAAGGAAAAAGTCAGTAAAGAGGTGGGTGGGCCTGGAGATTCCTTTGGTGCCAGGTTTTYTGGAGTCCCTTCCCCACTTCCTTTTTCCCTTACAGCTCGCTTGTCTTCAACCCTTCTCTTTGGGTCTCTCTGATTATCTCCTGGGGGTCCAGGTAACAATCTCTCTCCAAGAGCAGATCCGGGGTCCCCCGTATCTGGGGTGTGCCACCTTTGCGACCCGTTCACAGGGCCCCCAACTTTTACCTAAGAAACCTCTTAAGAGCCGAAAAAGTTAGGCAAAGTGTTGCAAATGCCAAAACGCGACTACCGGTACCTGGACTGCTACAGCCTGGAGTTTGGGCGGAGCCGTCCACTAGGTGTCAGAAGAGGGCCGACAGGGTCAGGCCCCGCGGGGTGGGGGCAGGGGGACCATCTGACACCGAGACGGGATGCAGGGGGCCCCCAGATGCCTTTCGGCTGGTCTCAAACCCCGGCTTCTCCGTGCTTGGCCCGCTTCCCCACAGTCCTGCCTTCGTTGTCCAGTGCGCCGTCCGGGCACAGCCCACCGAACTCACTGGCGCGCCCTTGCCGAACCCCAACCTGTGACTCCCTCATCCAGGGACCCCCCGCAAACTCCGCGGATGTCGAGGGTCTTGCGTGGACCGTGAGGGTTGGGTGCTCGCCCCGGAGGGCCGCCGCGCCCCACCCCGCAGCCCTCCTGAGTTACCGGCATTCGGAAGGGCTCCGCGCGCAGAGGGGCGCCGGTGCGCGCCGGGCGGCGGGCCGTGCGTCCCGGTACGCTGAGCTCCGGCCGCTCTGGGTTTCAGTTCCTGCCGCGGCCGAGGTGACTGCCGAGTGAGTGTGGGCGACCGCGCGCGCCTAGCGCTCCCGCCTCCCCAGGTCCCCTCCTCCGCGTGCTCACCTTACCAGTCGGACAGGCTGCCSGGCAGGGCCCGACGCCGCTCCGCGGGTCCTTTTGAACTCGACGGGGGCGGGAACCGCAGAGATTCTCGGCGGCTCGGAGAGGCCGAGCGAGAGGGACGGGCGGAGGACCCCGCGCGGGAGGAAGCCGAGGACAGACGCGCAGAGTTAGCGGCGGAGGCCGGCCGGAGTGGGGGTGGGAGCCAGGCCGCCTGGGTGGGACAGGAAAAGAGGACAGAAACCGCCCTCTGCAGGTTCCCTCTGCCCGCCGGACCGCCTCTGCTCCCTAGGGAGGAAAGGCTGCCTTCCTTTCTCCAATTGTCACTGTGCTCTCCGTCCGGAGCCGCTTCCTCTCTCGCCCAGAGGCTCCAGAGCAGATGGGATCTGAACCCCCTGCTAACTGAGGTCCGTCGGGTCTCCCCGGGGTTGACGTAATTTGAATTTTCTGTAAGTGTGGAAAATTACATATACCTGGTTTGCGTATCATTTATGCAAATTGTCTGGTGTCCCGAAACTTGGACTGTAAGCTAACTTAGGAGGCACACACGCGGATGGTGAGACATTGCAAATGAGGTAGGCACAGAAACGAGGCCTCACCCAGATCTTCCTTGTTCAACAATCAACCGAGGCAGTGTAGTGTGGAGGGTAAGAGTGTCGTGGACTTTGGATTCAAACAGACCCAGTTCCGCTGCTTGCTAGCTGTGTGACTCTGGACAAGTTAACACCTCCAAATTCTGTTTCCTAGCAGAATTTAGGAGATTTGAAAGTGATCATTGCCTATAAAGCCATTTCACAACCACAGTTCTAGCATATGGTAAGCACCTTAATATAAATGTTAACTAGCACCATACTTTTAGCTCCCTTTTGACTCACTTCTTTGTGGCAGGAAATGTTCCCACATTAATCAGAGTACCTCAATGAGTAAGAGGATGTAATAGTATACAACACAGGCTGTGGAATTGGCTCTGCTGTGTAATTTTGGACAAGTTGCTTCTGTTTCATTTCTTTTTCCTGAGGGGAATACCTGTCGCACCATAACATTACTGTGGGGATAGAATAAGTTAATTCATACAAAGCATTAGAGCCTTACCTGGCACATAGTAAGTGCTCAATAAACATTAGCTATTGTTATCCTGGCCACCCACTTAGAGTTGGACTTCTTGTAGTTATTCTGCCTTCCATCCCAGTGATATAGACAACTGTTCTTATTCCTTATTCCTTTAAGTTCTACAGATTTGAGAACCAATATTTATATAGATGATTAGAAAGACTGGTGCCATCAGGTTGTGGGTATTCATCTGGGGAATAAAGACTGAAAGTCTGAGAAAAAGGTATGAAGTGAGAAAAAAAATAGTAAAGCAAGAGTAATTGCTTTCATCCGTAAAGTGTTAGTTGATTTAAAAAAAAAAACAGGAGCAAAAAGAAGAAAAGGGGAAACAAGAAAAAGTTGACGAAATTCACTTCATATTTTTAAAAGGCAAGGCAATATCAGCTAGGAAGAAGTTCATGTGTAGGAAATGGTCAGTTCAACCAAGAACGACAACAATGTGTCATGTAGGCAAGTTGTACATTAGTTAATAAAAAGAAGTTCACCCTAGCTACCTCAGATAAGAAAATATCCAAGAGAAAAGGAAATTCAAACCCTAAGGGCTACATTCCAAAGGAAGACAATTGCTTGCATTTATTCTGGCTAACCAGTTGACCATGAATTGTAGGAACCGTTGGGATCTTTCTTGTATCTGGGTTTGTCTCTCCTACAGCATTCTCTGTTAGCAAGTGGCCCAGCTGACTCCCTACTGATTTTCTGTCACTTTCACAATTTTATTGATGATTGCTAATGATCTCTCATAAGTAGGGTTTTTTTTTTCTCTTTAAAATATAACCTTAAGTGCCGAATGCCAATGTCTTGGCTTGGCACAAGATCACGAGCCACCACACAGCTTTGTAGGTTCAAACAGCAATTCTTTATTCCGGATCTCACACCAGCCTCCACACGCGTTCAGGGGCAATCCCTAATATGCCCGTCCCCAAATCCTACTCCACGAGGCTTTTTCCAAATCCCATTTTAATCTCATGAGAACTCAACGGGAACAAGCAGCAGGAACACCCTAATCCCAGCAGCCATAATCTTCAACCTCAACTTCCCTAAAACTCCTATTGTCACACCCTAAACCCAAGGACGGGGATACTTCCTGCAGGAATACACCCTAATCCTGGATCCACCCTGGTGATTGAGCAGGGTCACCTTTCTCAAACACACAAGCAAGGTCGCAGCAAATTTCCAAGGCAAGTCCATTTAACATGGGGTACACTGGCAAGGATTACGATGCGTCATATCTACTTGGTAATGGCCCTCAGCACTTAAGGGGCTGGGGATGAGACTCAAGCGCGCTCGCCTGGCATGCGTGCGGCCCGGGTTCTATCCTCAGTACCACATATAAACAAAGATGTTGTGTCCGCCGAAAACTAAAAAATAAATATTAAAAAATAATTCTCTCTCTCTCTCTCTCTCTCTCTCTCTCTCTCTCTCTTTAAAAAAATAAAATATTACCTTAAAAGTTTTGCTCATACATGATTTTTTATTGCAGGCACATAATTCATTCTAAAAGTGTAAACATGCAGAAAAATAAGACCCCATATGCACCCAATTTGTTGTATTAAAAAAATTTATAGGGCTGGAGTTATGGCTCATCGATAGAGTGCTCTCCTAGCATGTGTGGGGCACTGGGTTTGATCCTCAGCACCACATAAAAATAAAAGGTATTGTTTTGTGTCCTTCTACACCTAAAAAATAAATGTTAAAAAAATAAATAAAATAAAGGTATGGTATCCAACCGTAATGAAAAAAGATTTTTAAAAAAATTTGTAAGCGGTATTATGCTCTTTGATATATTTTATTAAGCCGGAGAATGTGGCATATTTCTAGGATTCTCTGTATGACCTAGCCTGTCAATATTTTCCTTTAGATTGCTAGAGGGCAGGGACTGGATGGTGAACCTGCAAGTAATTCTATATAAAGATGCTTACAGTGGCTGATGAATGAAGTCTCATGTGGTGGTGAGTTTCCAATGTTCTCTGAGGATTAAATACTAAGCCTGAGAAACTACAGCAGCTATCCTTTTATCAACAGATTTCCAGGGACCTCAGAATGGAGGACAAGAAGACACTCATCTCCACCTAGTTCTTTTTTTTTTTTTTTTTTTTTTGAGAGAGAGAATTTTTTAATAGTTTTTAGTTTTCAGCGGACACGATATCTTTGCTTGTATGTGGTGCTGAGGATTGAACCCAGGCCGCACGCATGCCAGGCGAGTGCACTACCCCTTGAGCCACATCCCCAGCCCACCACCTAGTTTTTATTTCATTTATTTATTTATTTATTTGTTTGTTTATTTATTTATTGTAATGGGGATTGAACCCAGGGGTGCCTAGCCACTGAGCCACATCCCCAGTCCTTTTTAGTATTTTAGAAGTAGGGTGTTGCTGAGTTGTATGGGGCCTCACTAAATTGCTGAGGCTGGCTCTGAACTTTCAATCCTCCTGCCTCAGCCTCCTGAGCCGTTGGGATTACAGGAGTGTGCTGTTGTGCCTGGCTCCACCTAATTTTTATACTCATCTCCACCTAATTTTATTGGCTTTCAGCCCATCTTGTGCTGCTGCCAGGATGGCAGTATTCTAAGCTGCAGCCTTTCCCCTGGACAACGTTTTGTAAATCAAGGGAAATCATTTGGTACCCAACCAAACTGTTTACCTTACACAAGCATACGGGCTATTTCCCTGCCTCCTAAGAGCCTTCATTCAATAGGGTTGTCTTCAAATGAAGTATCAATCTCAGAATTTAGTGGAAATTTCCACTTCATTTGCACCTCTGTTGTAGCAGTTACTGCTTCTTTCCCCACTGGGCGGTAAATCAGTCCCTAGAAGTCTGCTCTGGAACATTCCCCAAAGAAGATCCATTTCCTGGGGAGATGAGGACCAGCAAAGCCCTGGAGACGAAAGACTTGAGTTGGATTTTGCCAGATGAATCTGTGAGGGGCTTGCACAGGGAGAATCCTGTATTCGTAGCTTTCCCTCTACCCTTCCATTTCCCTGAGTGTCACTCCCAGCAGTGMGTCTGAATCCCAAGGGAGGGGCTGTTTTCTAGTAGGCAGTGGGGCTTTTACATTTTTTTTTTTTAAAGAGAGAGTGAGAGGGGGGGGGGGGAGAGAGAGAGAGAGAGAGAGAGAGAGAATTTTTTTTTTTTATTTTTTAGTTCTCGGCGGACACAACATCTTTGTTGGTATGTGGTGCTGAGGATCGAACCCGGGCCGCACGCATGCCAGGCGAGCGCGCTACTGCTGAGCCACATCCCCAGCCCCGGCTTTTACATTTTTAAAAACCCTCCTCTCCACAGGGCCATACAACCTCTTCCCATTTACTGCTGTACATGGCAGAAATCCTTTGAATGGTTACTCTTTTTAAAGAATACAATATCAGATTTTAGAAAAATGACTACTCAGGGCTTTGATTCACTTAGGCCCATGGAGATGCGGTTCAAGGTTCTTCCTAAACTCACCATCATGGGTGTGAGTTTGCTTGTCTGGGAGTGGCCACTGCATACATCCACAAGTTCTCAGAAAGGGGCAAGGAAAAGGGGCTGCTCGTTACCCAGATCAGTGAAATCTGAAGGAAAGAGATAGGCACATCTCTGGAGTTAATTGTTGCTCAAAGCGTTTGGAAGCTTTTTCCTGACTAATGAAAAATAACTCAGTTACGGTCATCTACACTTGCTAGAAAGCTATGCAGCATATTATGTAGTATGCAGTCAGTATGTTATGTAATGCTTGATAAAAATAAAGTGGAAAAATTACTCCTAAATAGAAACATGTATTACCACCTCCCTTACAGTCACATCTACTGGAAAATTCTACAAGTATTTCAAACTGCAGTTCTTTTTTTTTATATATATTTATTTAGTTGTAGATGGACATAATACCTTTATTTATTTATTTTTATGTGGTGCTGAGGATAGAACCCAGTGCCTCACTTGTGCTAGGCAAGTGCTCTACCACTAAGCCAGAACCCCAACCCTCAAATTCCAAATCTCTTTAGGGCACACATAAGATTTTTTTTTTTTTTTTTTGGTACCAGGGATTGAACCCAGGGGCACTTAACCACTGAGCCATATCCTTTTATGTTTTATTTAGAGACAGGGTCTCCCTGAGTTATTTAAGACCACTAAATTGCTGGGGCTGAATCCATGATCCTCCTGTCTTAACCTCCCAAGCCACTGTACCCAGTAATGGTTTGTTTTTATAGCGTATTCAATGCATAATTGATACATAATAAATTGCACAAAGAATACACAATTTGATAAGCTCCAACACATGTATATATCCATTACCATATCACCAAAATAAAAATTAAGACCATTTCTATCATCCCTAAAAGTTGCCTGTGCTCTTTTATAATCTACCATCCTCATCACCACTTGTCTTGTTCCCAGCATTATGGACTATACCAACTGGTCATGTTGTGCCCTGCACCTCCCCATCCTATAATAGAGCCAGACACAGTTCCCCATTTCCCTAGCCATAGGATGGGCTCATAATACCAGTTGGGCCACACAGATTTTTTTCTTTGGGGAATGTGGATCTGAAGAAGACATGGGGCCAGGAGGTAGCTGGAGCTGAGTCTTCAAGTGGCAATCCTCACATTCCTGCTGCAGGCACCCCTGAGCTGGCTCTTGTCCTTCCTCCAGTCCGACTGTTCTTTGTTCTAAGAGCTGCCTACTCTTCTGCCAACATATCCTTTTATTGCTTAATTTTGTCAGTTTATTGCTTGCAACTGGAGGGCCCGGATAAATATGCTTCCTTCTACAGTCATTGTTTCAGGAAATGACACCACCACATTCTAGTCTCTCAAATTTAACCCAGAATAATTCTTTAAAACCTCAGTGTCTATAACATGTCTAACCCATCATTAAATCCTGACTATTCCTTTCTCTGCTCAATGTTCTCACTGCTTTTTTATTTTTTGCAGTACTGGGGATTGAAACCAGGGATGTCTACCACTAAGCTACACCCCCAATCCTTTTTATTTATTTATTTTTCTTCTTCCTCTATGTGGGATGACTGATGAGCCCTTGAGGAGCAAGCTGGCTGCAGACTTCTCCAAATCCACATTTCTTTTCCTCCAATTCCTATGTGTCCAGTTTATTTTGAGAAGAGTCTCACTAAACGGCCCAGGATGTGGCCTTATATTTGTGATCTTCCTGTCTCAGCCTCTTGAACTGCTGGGATTATAGGTATGAGTTACCATACCCAGCTTCTTACTGCTTCTTTAAAGATCACATTTCCTTCCTCATCAATGTTTCTCTATTACTTAGTACTGGTACTCAGTGCTTGGCACAGAGTAGCTGCTCAATACTTGCTGAATGATTGAACAGCTAGTGACATCATCACCCTTGAAAATAAGAACAAGGATGGAAGGGCATTGACATGTGAACATGTATTTATCAAGGTGGTAGGACTTCAGAGTTACTTATTTTTCACAAATATTTTCATAGAAAGCAAATGGTAGGACTTGAATCCAGTACTTCTGGCTCTAAATTTAATCCTATTTCCACTATATTTTGTATCCTTCCCCTTCCTGTGGAGTTTCATATCTTCTTCCATTGTGCTCAGATTCTTATTTGAACCAAGTACTTAATTGCAAATCCCAGATACAGTTCTAAAATACAATCCCAGTATATGCAGTAATGTATCTGGATTGAAGAGAGGCACTATTAAAAAGAGGTACCGCCAGGAGGCAGAGTGAACTGGGGGTCAGGGATATGACTAAATTTGTCTGAGGCAAATCAACACCTATACCTAAGGGCAAAATCAACACCCATACCTAAGTGGAAAACAGTGTGCACTGTCAAACAAAGAATCCATATATAGTCAAAATCACACTTTATTTAGCAATCTGAAAACCTGTCTTTGGTTTTAAGTCCTGCAAAATGACACAAATTTGTCCACTATCCTCTGAGTATGTGTGGTTATTTATCTCTGTGGACAAGTATGTGTCTAYAGATACTTTTGCTGTTTATAGTCACAATAGCCCCATTGAAACACATAAAATCTTATTCTTTTAAGAATAAAACCAGAGTCTGATATTCACCTCTCCCAAGCCTGCCTTCCTCCCATTCCCCACCCCCTCCCTTCCTCCCACCCTCCTCTAAGGCTGCTCCTCAGCATCCATTAATGCCAGGTCTTGGAGATGACCAGCATCCACACTGCCTGAGCACCTAGAAGTGAATGTGGCGTTATACCCCTTGACCTATCCCCTTTGGTTAAGGAGTTCCTCTGGGGAGACATGTATAGAGGAGGTCTTGGCAGTTTCTCTTCAGAGTTGTGCAGTTTGACTTACAGATATCTGGAAAAAAAATATGTTTGCATTAGATGCTGATCTGCCCTCCCTTCAACCTCTTGATTTCTTTATCTTGAATTGTATTTTCTTCCACACTTTTTATTGGTGCATTTTACTTGTGCATAATGGTGGGATTTGTCGTTACATATTCATACATGCACACAATACAGAAATATAATTTGTCTAATATCCCTCCCCAGCACTTCCCCCTCCCTCCCCTCTTCCCCCACCCCAGTCCGCTTTCCTCTATTCTACTGATTTTCCTTTACTTTTCATGGGATCAGTCTTCCTCCTCCTCCTCCTCCTCCACCACCACCACCACCACCACCACCTCTCTTCCTTTTTCCTTTATAGTTTCCACATATGATAGAAAACATATAACCCTTGACCTTCTGAGTTTGGCTTATTTCATTTAACATAATGATCTCAAGTTCCATTCATTTTCCTGCAAATGACATAATTTCATTTTTATTTTTCGTTGACTAGAACTTCATTGTGTATATATATATACCACATTTTCTTTATCCAATCATCCACTGATGGACATCTAGGTTGGTTGAATAGTTTGATTATTGTGAATTGTGGTGCTATAAATATGGATTTGCATTATCATTATAGTACGAGGACATTGATTCTTTAGAATAAATATTGAGGAGTGGCATAACTGGGTCATATCGTGGTTCCATGACTAATCTTTTAAGGAACCTCCATAATGATTTCCATAGTGGTTGTACTAATTTACAATCCCATTAACAGTGTAAAAGATTCCCTTTTCTCCACATCCTCTCCAGCATTTATTAGTGTTTGTACTTTTTTAAAATATTTTTTTTTAGTTGTAGTTGGATACAATATCTTTAATTAATTTACTTATTTTTACGTGGTGCTGAGGATTGAACCCAGGGCCTCACCCGAGCTAGGCAAGCGCTCTCCCGCTAAGCCACAACCTCAGCCCCAGTTTTGTACTTTTGATGACTGCTATTCTGACTGCTGTGAGATGAAATCTCAGTGTAGTGGTGATGGGGGGGTTTACCAGGGATTGAACTCAGGGGTACTTGGCCACTAAGCCACATCCCCAGCCCTATTTTGTATTTTATTTAGAGACAGGGTCTCACTGAGTTTCTTAGCACCTTACTTTTGCTGAGGCTGACTTTGAACTCGAGACCCTCCTGCCTCAGCCTCCCAAACAGTTACATTTTAATTTACATTTCCCTAATAGCCAATGATATTGAACATTTTTTCATATATTGTTGCCGTGTGTGTGTGTGTGTGTGTGTGTGTGTGTGTTTATTTATTTTTTGGTCCTGAGGTTTAAACTCAAGGGCACTTGACCAGTGAGCCACATCCCCAGCCCTATTTTGTATATATATTTTTTAGAGACAGGGTCTTGCTGAGTAGCTTAGCACCTTGTTTTTTCTGAGAGTGGTTTTGAACTCACAATCCTCCTGTCTCAGGCTCCTGAGCCCCTGGGATTACAGGCTTGCACCACGTGCCATTTGTATATTTTCTTTTGATAACTGTCTGTTTAATTCATTTGTCCATTTATTAATTGGGTTTTTCCCCYGGTGTTGTTTATTTTTTAAAGTTTTTTATATATTCTAAATATTAATCCTCTATCAGTAAAGTAGCTAGCAAAGATTTTCTCCCATTCTGTAGGTCCTCTCTTCAAATTTTTTGTTTTGTTTTTGTTTGGTGGTGCTTGGGATTGAACCCAGGGCCTTGTACATGCAAGGCTGGCAGTCTACCAACTGAGCTGAATCTCTAGCCCCCTCTCTTCATGCTCTTAATTATTTCCCTTGCTATACAGAAGGGAAATAATTTGATGCCATCCCATTTATTAACTCTTGGCATTATTTCCTGAGCTTTAGGGGTCCTACTGAGAAAGTCGTTGCTGGTGTCTATATGCTGGAGTGTTAATCCTACATTTTCTTCTAAGAGTTGCATAGTTTCTAGTCTAACTCAGAGGTCTTTGGTCCATTTTGATTTTTGTACAGAGTCAGAGATAAAGGTCTAGTCTCATCCTTCTACATCTTTCTAACCAGTTTTCCCAGCACCAATTGTTAAAAAGGCTATCTTTTCTCTAATATAGATTTTTAGCACTTTTTTCAAGGATCAGATGACTATAAATGTTTGTCTTTGTATGTTTTATTTTGTACCATTTGTCTATGTGTCTGTTTTTATGCCAGTAGCATGCAGTTTATGTTACTATAGCTCTGTAACATAAATTAAAGTTAGATATTGTGATGTCTCCAAAACTGTCTTTTGTGGCTTAGGATTGCTTTGGCTTTGGCTATTCTGGGTCTTTTATTCTTCCAAGTAAATTTTAGAATTGTTTTTTCTAGTTCTGTGAAGAATGTCAGTGATATTTTGATGGGGATTACACTTCATATTTCTTTGGTAGTATGGCCATTTTAACTATATTAATTCTGCCTATCCATGAACATGGGAGGTCTTTCCATCTTCTAAGTCTTTTTAAATTACTTTCTTCAATGTTCTATAGTTTTCATTGTAGATGTCTTTTACATCTTTGGTTAGATTTTTTTKTTGTTGTTGTTGTTGTTAGATTTATTCTTGGGCATTTTTTGAGGCTATTGTGAATGGAATTTCTTGAATTATATTTAATCTAATGCTACTGGCCTCTACTGAGAAAGATGATATGAAACTGGTAGTTAGGGTTACTGTTAGGACTTCTTGCAGATATTGGTCATTGTACCACTTGCCTTTTTATGAGGATTCACAGGAAAAAATTTTTTCTTAGTAGTAGCAACTGTTGTCTCCAAAGGAACAGGCAACATGAATTAGGTGAACTGATCAGGTGTTTCTTTTTCTGTCAGATGTTAGAAAACCTGGGACCAATTTTGTGGCCCATCCTTAATAATATTAATTTAGAGAATGCATTTTCTGTACTTGCTTAGTTCATGACTCCATTTTATATCACTATTCTGTGTCTCATACTTCGGAATTATTTTGCCACATTATGATTGTGTGATTATAAATATATTACAATATATATGATGTTTTTGTATTACTAAACTCCTTTTTGAAATAAGTATAGATATAATTAAGTAAATACTTAGGAGATAGGATTGGGTTAAGGCCAAGTTTTGGGCAGTGGTTCACACCTGCTTGACCCTGCCCTAAGAATATTACTGCTCGATTCCCCTTATGCTTGTAGCCCATGGTGAGAATTGCAGCTTGTAGCCAAATCCTGTCCATCCAGTGTCCAATCTCACCATCCACACTGATCTCCTTACCTCTTATTTCTTTTTTAATACTTAAAAAAAATTTAGTTGTAGATGGACACAATACTTTTATTTTATTTATTTATGTGGTGCTGAGAATCAAACCCAGTGCCCCACACATGCAAGACAAGCACTCTACACTGAGCCACAGCCACAGCCCCCTTCTTACCTCTTCTTGAGGCTCAGGTGCTGTGATATTTTCTCCTGGAAGTGCAGAGACATGGAGTTGAGGGCCTTGGGCCTACAAAAAGAAGAGTTCTGCCAGTAAGAGGTGGCTCAACTTCCCCAGCCTCTCAGCTTAGCAGGGTTTTCTGTGCCTCACATTTTTTAAGGGTCTATACAACACAAAGGGCAAACACACCCTGTTGTTTCAAAGAGCCCAAAGCATCAGGGACGACTTTCCTCCATGCTCTTTTAAAGATAAAGAAACCAAGAATGAAAGGGTGAAATAACTTGCTGGGACAGGAAAGAAGGTCTTTGGATTCCAGAGTTGCTTCCATGATCAGACACCATGTGATCTGTATCTCTCTCTCTCTCTCTCTCTCTCTCTCTCTCTCACACACACACACACACACACACACATACACGTATATACATACACATACCTGTGGGAGTGTGAGGTCTTAAAACCACTACCTGCCACTTTTAGACTAACCCTCCTTAAAAATGCACTGTAGCTCTCTCACTTGCAAGTTATCCTAAACCATTATAAGCAGTTAGGAGAGGACAGTGGTATAATGGTTTCTTTGGGAAAAGTTCTAGGTTCTGAGATGGGAACCCAAGGTATAGAAAGCCCTATCTAAGAATTGCTATGCCTGGGAAGATCCCAGCACACTAAGGTTTAAAACAAAGTTATTTTTAAAAAATTGACATTTAATTCACACTACAAAATTCATCCTTTTAAAATAGAATCAATTATTAACAATGTGACAGCTACTTGAAATTCTGTGATTTAAGAAAAATTTCCTTCTTCTCTCTCCTTCTTTTCCAGGCCATGAATTAGCTCAAAAGCAATATCAGCTTCCAAAAAGTTATCAAAGCCACCTTTCTCAAATATTTCAGATGCTGAACAATCCCCACCCCATTACATATGTATAAGAGTTGCTTAACCACTGGGATACATCCCCACCCCTTTTTTTCCTTATGTTTTATTTTGAGACAGTATCTCACTTAAGTCCTTAGGGCCTCACTAAATTGCTGAGGTTGGTCTAGAACTTATGAGTGATCCTCCTGCCTCAGCCTCCCCAGTTGCTGGGATTACAGGTGTGCCCCATAATACCCAGCTCATTTTGATTTATGCATTTTACATGTGATATGTCCATAATTTAAAAAATGGAATGTACTACCTTGAAAAATAGTTCTCATTCCTTGATGTTAGGCACTAAGGATATATGATCTCTGATCAGGGGCATGGTAGAGAGGATTATGGTGAAGTGTCTGATTAGATGGAACCAATATTCATTCATTCAGTCTACAATTGTTTTTTGACCCTTTCAGTATACCGGGCCCTCTTCTAGGAGGTGGGTTATGACAGTGAACAAAACAAAATTCTTTGCTTTCCTAGAGCTTATATTGTAGTGGAAGAAGACAGATGAGAAAATAAATAAATAAATAAATAAAATTATAACCTAGTGATGATAAGCAATATGAAAAAAATTAAGTGGGAAATTGGGGGCTAACTTGTAATTTTAAGCGGTCTGGTCAGAGAAGGTGACATCTGGGCAGTGAAAAATGCCAGGGCATGAGCCATGTGGATGTCTGGAAAAAGAGTATGAAATTTGTAGTATGAAATAAGAGTATGAAATCATTTCATTTATGATTAGGATGCATCTGCAAGGAAAGGGAGCATATATTGTAGGACATAGCTTCAGAGGCTTGTTGACACTGATAGACTCTAAGATGCTCTAGTCCCTTAATACTTCAGGAACAGGATGTCTTCTCAGCTGGAAACAATCCTACCACAAAGGCTGGAAGTAAGGAAACACCATAGATCTCAAACACAAGGACATAACCTCAGGGGAAAGAAGCTTGTGTGCTGTACTTCTCAGGGAAGAGWGTGTACCTCAAGATGGTCAAACAGCTTCTTGGTGCTCATCATCTCCCTTTCAATAAGATTACTCCAAGGATGTAAACTTTCTTTATTATTTATCAGAGTCAAACAGAAGGTCATTCTATTACTGTCTTCATACTAAAATCATGTAATAATTACAAAATCAAATTGAAATCAATTTTTTATTTTCCATACCATTAAGTTGCTCTTTTCATTGCAACAAACAAAACAAAACAAAAACCTGCTACGGGTGTAGTTTAACACCCTGTGTTGACCCTATACTTTTTCACCATCCACATCCTGCATCTCACAATTAGCATTGTTGCCTCCAACTAGAAACCAGCCAAGGGAAAGTTTTGTATCTTGTTCTGCTAAGGCCTTCAGTGCTTTATGTGAATCAAGACTGAAGGTATAATAATGTCAATGACTTAGATTTTAGTACCTCAAGAGAGCTGGCTGAGATAAGTTCATTGTCTTCTTCTTTGTCTTCCATCTTCTCCACCTCTCCAGGCCCTGAAAAAACCTGTGGATCAAAGGGAACAATGTAGGAGAAAGTCCCATACCTTCCCGTCCTGAATGCCACCCTGGTACCCTTTGTCCATGTTGCTCTTCTCAGGTAGCAGATGTGATCTGAGGGGTACTACAAATTTCATATTCTTCTTCCAGACATCCACATGGCTCATGCCCTGGCATTTTTCACTGCCCAGATGTCACCTTCTCTGACCAGACTGCTTAAAATTGCAAATTTAGCCCCCAATTTCCTGTGTCATCTCCCACTTAATTTTTTTCATATTGCTTATCATCACTAGGTCATAATTTTATTTATTTATTTATTTATTTATTTATTTTCTCATCTGTCTTCCTCCACTACAATATAAGCTCTAGGAAAGCAGAGAATTTTGTTTTGTTCACTGTCATATCCCATCTCCTAGAAGAGGGCCTGGCATACTGAAAGGGTCAAAAAACAATTGTAGACTGAATGAATGAATATTGGTTCCATCTAATCAGACACTTCACCATAATCCTCTCTACCATGCCCCTGATCAGAAATCATATATCCTTAGTGCCTAACATCAAGGAATGAGAACTGTTTTTCAAGGTAGTCCATTCCATTTTTAAATTTCCACTTTTTATTTTTTATGGTGCTGGAGATTGAACTCAGAGCTGTGTGTTAGGCATGCACATTATCACTGAGCTATACTCCCAGACCACACTTTGGTTTTTGTCACACCCTTGTGCCTCCTTCTTTCTTCCATATTTCTGCTTTTTTTCTATCCCACTTTTTATTCAGAGCTAATTGTTGAAAATGTCTCTTATATTGGTTTAAAATGTACCCTTAAAAAAAAAAATCATCTTTTTACACAGGGCCTACTTCTGCCCTCTGGTGTCTCAAAGAACAAGTCAAATCTTTCTTCTATATGATGGCTCTTCCATATAATTTGAATAGAGTATGACTTGATTTCCAGATCCTTCACAAAACACTTAGTCTCTAGTGGGTCAGCATCTCTCAATTTGTTCTCATCTTTATTCTCACCTTTCAAAAAGCTATCCCCTTTGTTTTATCTTCCTGTGTTCCTGCTTCTACGTCCTTCTCATCAAAGAAGGTACACACTGGGAATTTGCTGCCATTTTCCTCAGGTTCTACTTGCCATAGTCATAGGTATGAAACACTGTAGTTCCCCCCCCCCCCCAATTAAAAAAAGTAAGGCTCTGGGAGCCAGTTATAGGTTCTTTATATGGGAACTTCTATAACTTGGAGCAAAAAAGACAGAAAGGAGTAAAAATCTGCTCATAATATTAGTGAAAGCCTTTATAGAAGTCAATTACCCTAAGATTAGATTATTAAATTAATTGCTATGAAGATATGAAACAATCTGTAGAACAACAAAAAAGTGTCAAAGAGTATTCTTGAGACTGTAATAAACGACATCTTATCATCTACATGGAGGTTATAAAAGGGAGTAAGACCCAACCAGACCACTGTTACCTGGGAGGTGTGCAAGGTGGGGGAAGTACAAAGTTCTTCTGGGTTCAGATTGTGAGAGTTTTCCTTTTCTCTGGCTTCAGGAGTTCTTAATGGCTTCTCTGGTGGTTCTGGATCAGGAGAGGCTGCTAAGGAGGCCCTAGGACTTGGAGTCCCAGTCCCCAAGAGGGCCCTGGGGCTAGAAGGTGAACCCCCTCCAAAGGCTGGAGGACTAGAGGGTATGTTCCCTGAGGCGGGCCTGGGGCTTGGAGAGGCTCTGGGTGGGGGAGGCCTACAAGGAGGTGCTGAGATCCTATGGATAGAAGCTCTTTTCTTTGGTTGTTCAGATTCTTCACTTAAGGTGCGGGTTCGTAGGACTACTTCTGGAAGAGAGGATGGTTGCTTTGAAGGGTTCAGGGATTTCTCTGATGCTGGAGCTGGGACGCTAGGGAGAACTTCCTCCTGGCACTTGTCACTGTCAATGGTGGGTGTGGGCTGGCCCTGGATTGGGCCATTACAGGCTGGTAGAGGCTCTTCCTTCTCAGGGGAGCTTGGTTCAGACTCTCCCTCCTCTATTTCCTTGTCTTTTAAGGATTCTTCTTTGATCTTATAATCATCTTCTCCTTGGGCTGCATCAGGTGTCAACTCTTCTTCAGTTGCTGAGATAGATTCAGTCTCACTTGTCAAGGAATGTGAAGAGGGGCTGGTGGGTGAGGTAAGAGGGCTGGAGACTGTAGATGTTCGAACTGGGGGAGAGATGACTAAAGAGCACCTGCCACTGCTAAAAAAGGAAGGGCATTTGGATTCAGAAGAGGCGGACTGGAAGTAAATGCTGCCAAATAATTATGCTTACTATAATAATAAAATAGAATAAAGCAATTTATACTCATGTTAGAAATTCTGTACAATTGAAAATTATGCTAATGTCATAAAGTGAAATAAAAAGGGGCTACAAATTTTTACCTACATTAGCTCAATTATATAAAAACCTATGTAAAAAATACATTGCAAAATATTAACTAATATTTCCTCCGGTGAAAAGATTTTCTTTTTTTAATTTGCAAATTCACCTACTTATTTGTAACCCCCAAATCAATACTTCTGGCACTTTCCCAGTCATTGGTGGACATGTATAAGTGGTGAAAAATAATTCCTCTGACATGTACTTTCTCAGCTGAAGCCTAATAAGGCAATGATCTACCTTTTTGTTTTAGCTCTCATACTGTAAACAAGTTTCTATGCACCATGTTTTTGCTTTTTTATGTTGGTGGTGTGTGGGAGACCAACCTTGCACGTGACTTGAGTCACATTCCCCGGTTGGGTGCTGAGGTGCCCAGTCACAGAAATGTGGCAGAGCTTTCCCCTCCCTTCTTGGGTTTGAGGGAGGTGTCTCATGCATGGGTGTGTCTTGCTACAGCCCCATGGGTGGAGCTATGCTCACCTGTTCCTTTGTAAAATAACCCCTTGCCCTATTTAAGATAGAATCTTCCATGGAAGTGCCTTGTGTGTGTCCCTTTCTCTTACTGTGCCTTTGGGTGTGGCCTACCCAGGTGTCAGTCAACCTACAGACAGTGGACATCATGAAGATAGACTCAGCCCCTTGAAACCTGTGCGTGTGTGTGCGCRCGCACGTACGCATGTTCTCACTCTCTCTCTTTCTGGGACCCCCCAAAGAAGGTATTTGTGTTTCTTGTGTGTTTATTTTGCACAGCCCAGTTAGCCCAGTTTACCTGGAGTGACCCCTGAGCCTTTTAGTCGTAAGAACAGAAACCTGGCAGTGATGATTTTTTTTTTTTTTTTGGTACCTGGGATTGAACTCAGGTGCCCTTGGCCACTGAGTCCCATTCCCAGTCCCATTTTGTATTTTATTTAGAGACAGAGTCTCACTGAGTTGCTTAGCACCTCGCTTTTTGATGAGGTTAGCTTTACACTCATAGTCCTCCTGTCTAAACCTCCCGACGGCTGGGATTACAGGTGTTTGCCACCCCCACCCAGCTGTTGGTGGAGATTTTGCTATTCAGATGGGCCCCAAGCTGAATTGATGTGCCTTACAGAGAAAATACATGTGAGACAAACTTCATTCAGGCATGAGTTACAGTGCTATTGATTGTAAGTTCRATATTAATGAAGCAACAGTATTATTAAATAAGTGCCTTAAGCAGAAACTTACATAAAACAAGATTATATATTGGTTGATTGATAAAAATATTGTTGACAAGAGACTTGTAGGAACCTAACCCTGTGTTTTCCTAATGAGCAATGGCTCTGTCTTCAGTGTTTATGGCAACTTTATAGAACATAACAACTATGAATAAAACAAATGCACTATAACAGTTATCCAGTGCCTACTGGATATTGTACCAAGTACTTATTTTACAGGCAACATGAGCTTGACTCCTACTTTACCCCCTGTGCCTCTTATGTACTATCCACCAAATGATTGAGCAGACCACAAATATGTACTTGACAATTAAGAACCATGTGCTGTGTTCTGGGYACTATCCCCAGCCCTGAAAAAAAAAAGAAAAAGAAAAAAAGAGTTCTTGCCTGGTGGGAGTTCCTGATGTGGGATAAGCTGTGGGACATAAGGTTCTTTTTAGTACTAGCATTCTAAGAGTCAGTAAATTTTGAAGGCTTGGGACATAAGAAAAAAACCTGATTTCTACTTGAGGTTCTGGGACGCCTTAGTATAAATAATAATAAGTTTGTGAAGAATGAATAATTACAAATTCTGGCTTTCAATGCTGGAAAGAGGAGAAATGCAGCTTTTGGAGCAAACAGAAATTTGTCTAGGAAACCTACRCTGGCCCTTTAGTGATTTTTTAAATAGCTAAGTGAAAAGTACAAACAACAAATGTGAGCCTTATTCTTCCTTTAAGTCCCAAGCCCAGTTTCACCACCTCCTTAAAGTCTTCCTTAACTGTCCACACATTGGCAACTACTTACCTCTGCAGTTCCTATTGGTCTCATTAGGCACTTGTATGTGCATGCTCATATCCTTCATTCCTTGTCTCTTCAGGTACACTTTCTATACTTCCAATTTTTTATAAATCACACTAGGAAAAGGCCAACTTTCCTATGTCACTGGATCCCTAACACCTGACATAAAACCTTTTACATAGAAAGAGCTTAATAAAACTAAGACTTTGGAATGAACACGTAAACACATTCCAAGAGACCACTGAATTACTTATACTTACCAGTAGAAAAAAAATGTATGAAGGCAAACACACACACACAAGAAAAAGCAAGCCATAACATATTGGCAAATGATATTTGCTATGTATATAATCAAAAGATTAGTATCAGAATATAACAACAAAAATTTCATATAAATTAATTTAGAAAAAGGGTTAACTACCAAATTGAAAAATGTGAAAAGGATAAATAGGAAAGTCACAGAATAGGAACCTTAAATGCCAATAACATGAAAAGATGGCAACAGATAACTGTGAGGCTGTGACTTGAAAACCACAAAAGATTCCATTTCTTACCCATGAGCTTAGGAGAATTAAAAGGTCTGTCAATTTCACATGCAGCAAGAATGAGGAACCATGGAGGTTTGCATTCATTGCTGGTGAGTTGCAAACTAGAATAATCACTTTTGACAGCAATTTGGCACTATCTAGTTAGGCTAAAGAAGTACCAGTGACAGACCCTCTAACTCAGCAATTCTGCCCCATGTATACAGACCCTAAAGAAACTCTTGATAAATATTCATGAGGAGAAATGTAAAACGTGGTTATTGCAACATTACTTGTAATAGCAAAAAATGGGAAAACAACCCAAATGCCAATTAGCAAGAGGATAGATATATAAGTCATGAAGTAGGCGTGCAATAGTAATAATAACAATTATGGAAAGAAACTGCTACCACATGGAGCACCAAGGCTAAATATTAAATAATACTAAGAGAACAAAAGAAGTTGCATAAGAATATATACAGTAAAAGTCCATTTATATAAGGTTAAAAATATGCCAAGCAATATTTTATAGTGTATGTATGTGTGATGTAAAAGGAAAAAGATATACATGAAAATAATAAATGCTAACTTTAATGTAATGGTTACCTTTGGAGGGGGCAGGAAGGGAAAGAGTGGGGAAGGGACATTAGGAGTTTTAACTATATTTGTAATAATCAATTTTCTTTCTTTTTCCTTTTTTGCAGGCCTAGGGATAAAACCCAGAGCCTCATGAATACTAGGTAAATGCTCAACCACTGAGCTACATTCCCCAGCCCCAGTAGTTGATTTCTTAAATTTGGTGGTATATATATGGTTATTTGTTGTATTATTCTTTATACCTTCAATTATGTCTAAAATATTTAATGAAAAGAAACACAACCAAATGAAGCACAACCAACATCATGACCATGAACATAAAGGGAAGACCAGAATTTTGGACTGGAGACGAGGATTTTGAACATGTTCACACACAGTATAAGTGATCCAGAAGAGAGTCAGAAGTTGCTCACCTTGATAGTCCCTTCACCACAAAGACTTTGTTGGAATGTTGCTTCTCCAGTTTGCTCATCACCTCGTAGAGATTGTAGTTCAACTATAGCCACCAAGAAAGAAGGGGATGCTAGCCAAATGCACAGACCCCAAGACTGTCCTTTCCTTCAAACTGGATCCCAAAATAAAACCTCCTCACCCTTCTAACTCTGATCTCATGTTTCTAGCACTAGCCTTTAGGGGTTTGTCCCATCACCTCTTCTTCTTTGTTTCTCTGTGTCCTAAGGTCTACCTTTTCCATTAGTCTGGCAGCTCTCTTATGGCAGGATCCATAACTATTTTGATTTGAGGTTTTAGCTCCTCTCAGTTGATTCAGGGAATGAAAACTCATCTTAATATTAATCAGGCAAATCATAATCTAGCCAAAGAAACAGTGGAGAAGAATATATGTAGCTGTATGTGAAATAATGTTGTAGCAGCAAAGTACTGTAGAATTCCAGACTAGAAAAGACCTCATGAGTCATGTTTTATGGCTGCCTGTTACTGATAGGATTGGTCCTATTCAAGACCAACCACTGAGAAAGTGCTTAAACAATACTCTCACCACTCCCCAACAACAGATAGACTTCAAAACTTGGTTCCCCATTTCAATTCTTCCTTCCATTAGTCCTCTTTATGTATGTTGAAACTCTAGTTTAGCTGCTCTTAGTTGTTAAGGGTGTTGGAGAGGGCCCTCTGATAATGTATACATGTGCTTTAACATGTTCAACACAGCAAATCAAGTGTTATTATTTCATCAGGGGATGGAAGTCAAAATTGGTGGTACCAATCTAGATGTTCAAAGAAATTAGGTAAATCAGTGCTACTTTATATTGACTAGAAATATCCACCTAGGAATCACAGCTGGCCAGATGTTTCTCACCTTGCTCATCTCCCTGTAGAAGACATCCCTCAGGTTGGAAATGTTTTGGAAGATGGTCACATAACAGCCAATACGACTATTAGGAAGCAAAACAACAAATATGTACAAGTTAGGGACAGGAAAAGAGGTCTTTGAAATACAAAGTAGGAACTTAAGCCCAAACTAGCCATCACCAAGGCTGTTYAGAAAAAGGAACCCCTCATCCTAGACTTGGATGTTGTGTGGGCTAGATTCATCAGCTACACACATATGACTTTGGGAGCAAGAAGACCAAGGGAGACAATATCAGCCAGGCTGACACCAATGTCCAGGCTCAAGAAGTTATCAGATTCAAGTTTTTGAGGTATTAAAGTAGATATGAAAGTGCTTCGAAGAATTTTTTTAAGGGATGTATAAATAGAAGACCATATGATTATGATTATTATAAAAAGTAGTTATCCTTTCTCTTTGTATGATACAGGATTTCTACACCTGTATATACCTTAATGGAATTCTATAAATGAATTGGGGAAGTTTACATTTAAAGAAACTATCAAATCTCAATTTGATAGTTTTGATTTTAGGTTTTAGCTGCTCCTCTCAATTGATCCTGGGAATGAAAACTCATCTTAATATAAATCAGGCAAATCATAATCTAGCCAAAGAAATTAAATTCCATTTAAATTAGGAGTTACATAATTATTATTTTACAATAGATGTATCATTAAAAGGCTCCATATATAGACCAATGTTTTTTTAATTCAATACCTCTTATGCAGACTAAGTTACAATACACAATACTCTTTACTACAATTGTACTAAAGCATATCTTTACAATGAAAACAATATACAAGTGGAATTTTTGCTCAGATTTCTCTTCCAATTAGGAAAATTTAAATCTAAAACACTTTACTATGAAGCAATGACACCTCCATTAAGACAAATAGTCATCCTATGGCTAATCTATGTAGATCTGGTATTATATAAACCAAGCTTGTTTAAAACAATACATACTTGAGCATGAAAGCAGATCCTGGCAGTGTGCATGTTGACAGCACTTTACTTGCCAAGATTTCTCCTAACCAAGAAATATCCTGTAGTCAAACCCAGAAAAGCTGGCAGAGCAAGGATGGCTATCATTGAATTATAGGTAAAGAAACCAGGGTGTAGAGCTAAGGTGGCTTGCCTAATATCACACAGCAAGTTAGATCCTGATTTGGACCAGGCCCTCCCCACCCTCATTTTTTATCTTTTTTTGTGGTGCTGGGAATTGAACTCCAGATGCACTCCACCACTGAGCTATACCCCCAGTCCTTTTTAAATTTTTATTTTGAGACAGGGTCTCTTTAAATTGCCCAAGCTGGCCTCAAACTTGCAATCCTCCTGCCTCAGCCTTCTGAGTTGCTGAGATTACAGGCATGCTCCACAACATCTGGAGGATCAGGCCTCTTTCATGAGATGATAGATTTGGGCTGTAAGGTGGCCTTGTCTTCCACTTGCCCAGGAAGTAAGCCTTTTTCTAAATCTCAATCATTACCTATTAAAAAGAATAGGCAGCTCCTCCAGTAGTTCCTGGTTTAGGTCTTCAAACACACTCTGGGCTTTGTTGAACTCTTCCTCAGCCTGTGTGGTAAAAGAACAAGACAATCCCCCTCAATCCTGAACCCAAGGCTAGATAAAATCTCCTTCATCCTCTGCATTTTTTTCAGGAACTAGGCTTATTTGGAGCAATGCCTCTCCTCTTCTTTCCCAGACACATGCCCTCCCCAGCTTCAAGACTCAGTATCAGTGTCAGAAGAAATAGGATTTCCTTCAGAGCACTGGATGCCAAATTTATCACTTCCTATGCCCACCTTGGTCCGGCTACCTGCTACCACTTTGGGAAGAGGAACAGCAGGGAGGGCAGGAAAGTTTTACCAGATCTTTGTTTTCTTTACCTTGGCAGTCTTGGCCTCATCTCTCTTCTTAGCATTCTGTATGGCCTCTAGGTGGTGACGGGCACTATCATAGTCCACAAGTTTTCGACCCCTCTTGGCAATTCTTTCCTAAACCAGAGTGATAGGGTATGGATACTTGCTTTTCTGTAGCCACGACGGAGGTAACATACTACCAAGCAGAGAAACAAAATTCTTGGTCTTATCACAAAATTTTACCTTCTAACAGGATTTGGTGCCCCAGAAATTTCCCTCACTCTGTTAGAAGAATGGGAATTCTCAGGGGAAAGAGAGTAAGGGACAATCCTACAAAGCATGTAAAAGCCATATTAACTTTTAGTATTTTCTATGAATCCCTTATAAACTGGCTCAGCCTCCAAGATAAATAAAATTGAGAATGCCACTAAATTGAAAATCAGGAGTTTCGGTTCCTAGTCCCAACACAGTCATTAATTAGTCCTGTGGCCTGAGCAAGGCCTATCTATTTTGGCATCTCAGAAGCCTCCATCTTCCCCACACAAGTATTATTTTAAAGACCAAATGCTGATTATAAAATGCTCTAAAACCTCTAAAGCCCAATAAAAATAGTAAATTACTATGAGCAGTAAGAGAAAATCTACTCAATCTCATCCAAACTACAAATGATACCAGGGAGAACCAAAGTGTCACTGGCCATTTCACTTCTCTGAATCACAGAAATTGAAAAGATCTTAATAACTGTCTTGTCCAACTTCCTGTATGATATAATGCTCCTCTACAATAACCCAGATATATTCAACTTCGGGTTGAATTCAGAACAGACAACTCACTGTCTGAGAGCATATTTCATTTCATTTTGGAAAGTTCTAACTTAAAAGTTAAACTTAATATTTAATATAAATTTTTAAGTCTGTCTCCCTCTAATTTCATCCTCTAAATCTAAAACTGTCACAGCRGCCAACAAAGTAGGTGTTCAATAAATTTAATTAAATGAATAAATGAATTTTGAAAATTCTGCTTTCTGGAACCATTTAAAACAGGCTGAGTTCTTCTAAAGCATAATTTCAAATATTTGAAAATAACTATTATGACCCTCCCCCAAGTTTATTCTTCTATACAATAAGTACCTTTATTCCCATCAGCTATATCTCACATCTAAAAGATGTTCTGACCGAGATCTGATTCACTGAGCTCAAATTTAGATACTGAAATCTAAGTGTAAGTATAACCTCATGCTATCTCTAGCTCTCCATCCTAACCTCCCGTCTAACCCTCAGCCTTAATCTGTCTCCTTACCTACCCAACTTCACCCTTAACTATGGGCTTTAATGTGAGACTGGGGTGTGGCTCAGTGGTACAGTACTTGCCTAGCATGCATGAGGCCCTGGATTTAATTGCCAGCGTGCCAAGGTAAATAAATAAATCTAAATCTTAACCTGTTTTTTTAAATGAATGTGGCCCACCTAAAACCTAGCTTCAATTCTGTATATCAAGTACCTTTTTTTAAAAAAAATATTTATTTAGTTGTAGATGAATATACAGTATCTTTACTTATTTATTTTTAGAGAATTTTTTAAATATTTATTTTTCAGTTTTTGGTGGACACAACATCTTTATTTTATTTTTATGTGGTGCTGTGGATCGAACCCAGCACCTCGCGCATGCCAGGTGAGCACGTTACGGCTTGAGCCACATCCCCAGCCCCCTTTATTTATTTTTAATGTGGTGCTAAGGATTGAACCCAGTGCCTCACACATGCAAGGCAAGCTGCATGAGCTACAGCCCCAGCCCCTATCAAGTACCTTAATCTCGTTGAACTGGGCTACATAGTTTTCCATGGTCCTCAAAGCCTGGTCAGCCAGTTTCTCTTCATAGTCTTCCCAAAGGAGATCATTATTCTGTGGGATGGAGTCAGAGGCTGGTGAGGGCCCCTTTCATGCATCTCAACAATTGCCTACCCAAATACCCAAATTCTCCTGCAAGTACTTCTTTGTAGTCCTGTATTTAGAAAATCATGTTGGAGTCTAGGGAAGATTCAAAGGGAGAAGAGACAATCTCTGCCCCCAAGGAAGTGCCCTATAGCAAACCTGGAATAAAGAATGATCATATGATCAGGGCCAGGGACTCTACAGCTTAGGGTCCAGGGATATTTGAGAGTAATTAACTGATAAAGTTAGTTTTTTAAAACAACCCATTTTCAGGAGGTAAAACTTCTGTAAAGTTTTAAAGAGGGAAAGAGGGTCAAAATCAGAGGAGGCCACTGATTAGGGGAAGCTTCTTTTTACCTTGACATTGCAGCTTATTCCTACCACCCAGAGACTGAGGCTACACAAATGGATAATGTGACTGGCTCCTTTGTTTTCCTATTTCCTTGGAAGGAGAAGTTCAGCTGAGATTGAGATGAAAATTGGAGTGTATGGTGAAGAATGGTGAAATCCACATTGCCCTTACCCCTACAATGTCCTTCAGCTCCTCATGACCATCCCATTCACTGCTGTAGATTTCTTGCAGGGTTTCTGACACTCTTTTTGAACTTTCATGCATCACTGAAAGGAGAGAATTCAGTTCTACCACCAAATTTCCCAAAAAGCATTTTGATATAATCATATGGGTGACAAATCAGTGGGTCCAACTCAGAAGGACAAACTCAGAAGGTTGGCTTATGAGTGAAGGAAGCTAGGTGAGGCTGTGAAAGGAAAAGTGACTCCCCATAGGCCCACAGAATTTCAGAAATCAAGGGTAGAAAAGTGGTAAAAAGCTGGGGTCCGGGAGCTGGGGTTGTGTCACAATGGTAGAGCACTTCCTAGCATGTGCAAGGTACTGAGTTTGATTCTCAGCACCACATATAAATAAATTAAATAAATAAAGGTCCATTAACGACTAAAAACTATTAAAAAAAAAAAAGATGGGATTTGGTTGTTTTACCGTCCCCAGAAGTTTTAGCATCTACACAAAGGCCTTCTGGATTTTTCTGAGCTTTAATACCCACCTTTGACTGCACTAAGGAAGTTCTTCAGGTCCTTGTAGAGCTTGTAGCCTTCTGCCTGAAAGGGCAAAGTAGTTTTGGTGACTAAAGAGGTATATTTTTAAAGATGCTCCAGACATCAAAGTTGAAAAGTAGATTAAATGCAGAATTCACTCCTAGAATTTCTTCAAATATTCACAATTGTCATAAACCAGACTTTCTCTAAGTTGTAGGCTGTCTCCTCTGGGTCAGTTTTTAAGTTGGGAGGTTGCTAGAGTGTCCACTGCATTGATATCCTTTCTTCTTTCTTCTGCTTATTCCTTCCAGTGAACAAAAACCTATAGCCAAGCTCTTCTGTTGAAATTTAAGTGTCCTCTATATGATCCTATCTATGTTCCTATCTATGTGATCCTCCAGCTCACATCCTCCTCTCTGGGTAGATAAACTACTGCCATCTTCTGCAGATTCCAGGCTTTCTTCTTCTCTGACTACTCTCACAGATACTTCTCTTCACCCTGCTATCCTTTACCCTGCCTCACCTTACCCAGCTAGCAGTCTCCTGCTTTATATTTCTCTAAAGGGCCTTGTCATTAATATCTCCATTTATAATCCCCAAATCTTCATCTATAGTTCATTCTCATTTTCTCTCTTCCCAACCCCCCCATCTATCTATCTATCTCTCTCTCATTCTATCTTTGCTCCTATGTCTGAATTCTCTTTTTTGGCTAGAATTCCCAAGTGCAGAAATGGTCTCCTCCTGTTTCTAAACAACAAGGGGAGCTGGGTTTGTGATACACAACTGTAGTCCCAGCTACTCATGAAATTGAGGCAGGAGGATCACTTGAGCCCAGGAGACTGAGGCCAGACTGGGCAGCATAATGAGAACCTGTCTCTAAATAAATAGAATAAATAAAAAGAAGGGGAAAAGGACAGGAAAGTATCATCTAGAGTTCGAAGTTCAAATTTCAATCTTTTTTTTTTTTTTTTCTGGGTATCGGGGATTAAACCCAAGAGTGCTTAGCCACTGAGCCACATCCCCAGCCCTTTTTATATTTTATTTAGAGACAGGGTCTCACTAAGGTTCTAAGTTTCTGAGGGTAGCTTTGAATTCAAGATCCTCCTGGTTCAGCTCCTAAATGTGATTACAGGCATGTACCCAGCAATGAACTGTTTTTTAATTTTTATTTTTCAGCACTAGAGATTGAACCCAGTGGCACTCTACCACTGAGCCACATCCCAGCCCTTTTCTATTTTTTATTTTGAGGCAGGGTCTTGCTAAATTACCAAGTTGGCCTTGAATTTGGGATTCTCCTGCCTCAGTCTCCAGAATCACTGGGATTATAGGCATGCCCCACCGTGCCTGGCCAGCCCAAATTTCTGATCGTGCTTCATACTGAAAGTCCCTCTCAATGGCTGAATGCCCAGGGCTATAAGGACACGTCTCAAAGAAGTTGAAGGCACTGTCAGAAAGCTGGGCGAAGAAGTAAGGTTATATAAATGTAGTAAATGAGGATCAAGAGAACATCAGATAAATGATCAAGAAAGAGTCAAATGCCACAAAGAGATCAGAATGCAAGAAGAGTCAGTAAAAAACACTAGAGCTGGTAATTGGAAGTCACTGGTGACCTTGAGAAAACATTTTCAGTAGTACAATGAAGACAGACTCAGTCAGTTAACAAAATTTAGGAACACTCAGCACTCACCAGGAAGGATATCTAACTTCCTTCTTGTGTTTTCATTTACAGAAAAAGTTTAGATAGTTTGTTAAATGAACGCAATGTCTTTTAAATATGGATATAAGTCTGTAAACTTTGAATATGATGATCAAGATTTTAGAGAGATTTGAAAGTGTCTTATGGATTATAAAATTAACAAGAATTTCAAGTTCTTTTTTGAAAGAAAACAATGCTTACTTAACTTTTTATTTCAGTATGAAAACTTGACTTCAAAAATAGATTACTAACAAAACCAGTCAAATTATTTTGCATGATTTCTACAATTTACACTTTTAGTTTTTTCTCAGTATATATCATATGGCCTAAAATATTACTTATCAAAGCTTTTATGTATGGTGCTGCACTGTTTAAAACTAATGGGTGCTATTTTATATCATAGTCCAGAAAATGTGAGTGCCTCCTGTCTCCATAGTACCTCACAAAGCCCACCTCCATTTCTGTTTTAGAATCAAGCCTCTTAATTACAAAGTTTTTCCTCCACGCTCTTGTTCATTCCTTTGAGGAGATGAAGTCTGGGAATATACGTGAAGGTGGTAATGGTGGCGGGGGTGGAATGGAGGGAAGATGGGACAGCACTGGGTGTCATTTTATTTCTCTGACCTATCCATCTTCCCCTAAAACATCTCCAAGTAGTCATTCCCAGAATCTACTCCTTTTTTGACTTTCACAGTTTTGGCTCTTACGTGTCTGGGAGTCAAGTATCTTGACTCTACTCCCAACTAGCAAGTTAGTCCACTTCTCAGGCTTTAGTTTCCTCATTTATAAATGCAGTGTAAGGCCATTTAGTTCTTATGATTTTATCACTTCTACTTTCTGAAATCTTGCCAAACCCTGGTATTGCCATAAAATTCTGAGTCAGTCTTTCCCACCCCTTATACAAACAAGTTCAGCCCTCAGTTATTGAGCCACTAGTTCCCTGTGGAAGTCTGTCCTAAGCTAGGCACAATCTAGGTTCTAAGATACTGGGGTACTGAACATGGAGAAGAAGGTCCTTGTCCTGGAGTTCCCTATTTCCTAGAGAAAAAATGGACTCAGAGAAACCCAAACACTTAGTAAAACAAGTATAAATAGCAGAATCAAACCCTGAGCAAGTGCTCAAAGTGCTTAATCTAAAGGAGATCTAGGAGGGAAAGATGAAGCTGGATTGTTAGATCTGATTTTAAAGACAAGAAAGTGGAAGCAGCTATTAATATTAGAAGAGATTAAAGTGCTGCTTTAAGAAACTAACTCTTTCTATGTAATTAAAAAAAACCACACCATTTGTGGTCAGCATTATTATTATTTTTTAGTTGTTGATGGGCACTTATTTATTTATATGCAGTGATAATTCAAACCCAGTGCCTCACACATACTAGGCAATGCTCTCCCACTGAGCCACAATCCCAGCTCTGTAATATGTTTTTGAAAAGAGAATAATGGGGGCTGGGGTTGTGACTCAGTAGTAGAACGCTTGCTTAGCACTGGCAAGGTCTTGGGTTCGATCCTCAGAATGACACAAACAACAACAACAACAATAAAATGAAAGTTAAATTCTTTAAAAAAAAAAGAGGGTAAGGGGAAAGCAAGCACAGCTTCAAAGAAAAATTACCTATGGAAATTTGGTAAGGAACCTAGGCAAGTGGCAAGGCTTTGACACAAGCTGGGAAGTTGGGAGGGATAGGACACGCTATTAATAAAAAGCTGATTCCATAGTCAATGATCACCTATGGCTGTTATGTTACACAAACAAGGAGACAACCAGGGCTGGGGATATAGCTCAATTGGTAAAGTGCCTGCCTTGCAGGCACAAGGCCCTTGGTTCAATCCCCAGCACCACACACACAAAGAGAGACAACCAGACATTACAGGTGCTTCCTGAGAGAAGAATATACAAACACCTATGAAATATTCTTGACATCAAAACAAAGACCAAAAAACTAAGTCGCATCAAGCCTGTAAATCAATCAATTTGCCAGGACATAGGAACTCCTCAAATAATAAGACAGAGATCAATCAGCAAACTATAGGCTGCAGGGAACTGCAGGACAAATAACCTGATATCAACAACAAATCAAAGAGAGGAATCAGAAATCTATAGATTAAGAGATTTAAATCTGAGAGGTTTAAGCATGTCATTGAATTGCTGATTTCAACAAACTGTTAAAAAAAAAAAAAGATTCAATCACGGAAACTTGAACATTGACTGGAATATTTTTCCCCCTTTTTTAGGTGCTGGGGATAGAACCCAGAGCCTTGCACATGCTAGGCAAGCACTCTACCACTGAGTTGCAACTCCTTAACCGTATATTTCAGTATTAAGGAATGGTGCTAAATTTTTTAGATAGCACTTAAAACTTGCATTTTAGTGGGATATTTAATCTGAAATATCTTAAATATTTAATATAAAATAAATAGTATGTAGTTAAATTGGGGAAAAAAGCAAGTTGTAAAACCACATGCATGGAATAATCTCACTTTTGTAAACCTCACATTTATTATGGATACATTCAGATACCACACACAAACACAGCAAGATAGTTGTAAGGATGTAAAACCACAGAGGTCATAGTTTAGGAGTGTGAAATTCTTACTGTTTTTACATTCATTTTATTTTTTCTTAAGTACTTTCTTATTTCTTATAATGAGTAATGAAATTAAAATTTTTATGGATGAAATGATTACTGGAATTTGCTTCATAAAAATCAAGGATAGAAGAAAAGTATAGATATAGATAAGATTGCCCATGAGATGATAAATTATTGGGTAATAGGTATATGATGGTTCATCATACAACTTTCTCTTCCTTTGTATATATTTGAAAAAGTTTAAAAGTTTAAAAGTAAAAGTAAGATTCCTAGGTCCTACTCCCAGAGACCTTGCATTTTTAAATACTTCCCAAGTGATTCTAATTTATAGTCAATTACTTTGATAATAGTTAATATCCTTTCACTATCATTTAAAATTGTTTTCCATATAATTCAACTAACCGATATTGTATATGTAGAATTTGGCTGATCTTTGTCCCTGGTTCCTGGGAGATAACCTTCAAATACTGTGTCTCTGTTATTCATTGTGGTCCCCTCAGACCACACCTGAGTTTATACTACATTCAAGATGGTGGCTGTCCATGCTGGAAAGATCAACCTTGTCATTAGAAGATTCAGGCTTTGAGACAGGTAAGAGGAAGGGAAGGAAGCTAGAGATTTGAGTTCAAGCACATAGCCCATGATTCAACATGTAAAGAAACTGCAATAAGGGGCTGGGATTGTGGCTCAGCGGTAGAACGCTCGTCTAATATGTGCAAGGCCCTGGGTTCGATCCTCAGCACCACATACAAACAAAGATGTTGTATCTGCCGAAAACAAAAAAAATAAATAGAGTGTTCTTTTCTCTTAATTGGTTCCTCCTGAGGAACCAATTTATCATCTCATGGGCAATCTTATCTATGTCTATACTTTTCTTCTATCCTTGATTTTTAAAATTCTCTCTCTCTTTTTAAAAAAAATAAAGGTATTGGGCTGGGGACGTGGCTCAAGCGGTAGCGAGCTCGCCTGGCATGCTTGCGGCCCGGGTTCGATCCTCCAGCACCACATACAAACAAAGATGTTGTGTCCGCCAATAACTAATAAATAAATAAATATTAAAAAAAAAAGATAAACCTTGAACAGGTTTGTTTTTWAAAAAAAAAAAGGTATTATGTTTAACTACTTATAAAAATTTTTTTTTAAAAAGAAAGAAACTGCAATAAGAACTCTGGACACCTAAAGCTCACCTGATATGCCAAGCACATGTCCTAAAGACATAGAAGCTTTGTGTTTGGAACCCTCTCCCACCTCACCTTATATGTGTCTTCATTTGGCTGGTCCTGATTCGTATCCTTTGTAATAAAATCATAATATGTGTAGAAACTTTATGAGTTCTGAGAGTCATTCTAATGAATTATCAAACCTGAACAGGTTAACACTCTTATTATAAAGAGGGGACAGTAATCTTCAGGTTTAATGTAAAAATTAAATGATATAATGTATGTAAAATACTGAGCACAAACCTTGCTCATGGTAGATAGGAAGTAAAAAATCCCATGGAGCTTAAACCTGTTAGCCACTTCATAGTGTAAATTTTCTACATAAAATTATCCATAATACCCTGCTAAAATAGAAGAAACAGAAAATAGAAGAACACTCCTCTATCTCCCACAAATCCCTGATGAGTGGTTAACTGCCCCTGAGTTCAATCCAGGAACAGAAAGGTAAATTTCTCTGGTTCCAGAGGAAGGATAAGCAGCAGGTCACCCTGTGGCCCTGAGCCCTTGGGGGAGGCTGGGTTGGTTAGGATGCTTGCAGAACCTGTGTTCTTCTGCCACACATCCCACATGTCTTCTTTCTTTCTCCAAGCTTCCCTTCCCCCAATTACCTGTTGTTGATAGAAGTTGCTGGCACTTTGTTCAAATCGCTCATCTTTGGTTTCTACAGTTTTCCCCAATTTTTGTAGGACCTGGGAGATATAAGACAGAAAAGGCCATAGTTATAGTCAAGTATCTCTCATATGTTGGTCTTATATGACTGTGGCTTCTCTCATAGTCTTGGAAGCAACTAAGGGTCTTACTCTTATTACCCCAGCAGAATTAGGAATATATCATGTTGCTGACAAACCAATCATATTTTGTGATTCTTTTCAAATAAGTGTAACTGGAGGTATGCAGCAGTGTGCTAGAGGATATATCTATTTCCAAATAAATAAGATTTACCTTCCTAGAATCTCACTGCTATTTAAAGTCCTTTTTAAAAAAATACTTTTTAATTGTAGTTGGACACATTGTCTGTATTTATTTATTTATTTATATCGTGGTGCTGAGAATAAAACCCAGTGCCTAACACGTGCAAGGCAAGTCCTCTACCACTGGGTCACAACCTCAGCCCCTAAAGTCCTTTTTTTTAAGGCTGGGGATGTGGCTCAATGATAGACACATTTGCCTAGCATGTGCAAGGCTCTGGGTTCAATCTTGAGTACTGCAAAAATAAAGTTTTTTAGGGTGTTGGGGATTGAACCCAGGGCCTTACACAAGCTAAGCACATGATGTACCACTGAACTACCTTCTGGCCCTAAAGTGTTTTTCTTAAGGAGGAAGAAGGAAGACATGTTGTTTATTTTTGGTACTGAGGACTGAACCCAGGGGTGCACTATCACTTAGCTACCTCCTCAGTCTTTTTTACTTTGAGACAGGGTCTTACTAAGTTGCCTAGTCTGGCCTTGAACTTGCAATCCTCCTGCATCAGCCTCCCAAGTTGCTGGGAATACAGGTGTGTACCACTGTGCCTGGTGAGGGCATTATATTAAAACAAAGATTAACAAAAAGAACATAAAATATGCATAGCTCTTAAAGATAAATATGAGCCTTAAAGATATTTTTAAAATTAAAAAAAAAAAATAGTTGTAGATGGACACAATACCTTTATTTCCTTCTTTTTATATGGTGCTGAGGATCAAACCCAGTGCCTCACACATGCGAGGCAAGGGCTCTTCCACTAGCTATAACCCCATCTCCCTTGAAGACATTTCTCTTAAAAGACCCTTGTCTAGCCATAGACACAGATTCTTCTCAATAGATGAGGTTAGAGAGATGAGCAGGAAACTCTTCTTTCATGAGGGCCTTTGTGGAAAACTTTGAGAAGCCCTAATAAAATACATTTGAAATTCAGCTAGAAATGAATGCTATCCAGGTCTGTCTTCTCTCAACTAGAAAACCTGAGAGACATCCATTATACAGTCTCAGTGCCAAGGCAAAAGACAAGATACTAAAAAAGACCCAGTCTCTATTGTCAAAGGGGACACTGCCTTTCTGGAATGCCCTTCCTCACCTTGTCTGCCAGGCACATATCTTAAAACAAAACAAACCAAACCAGTTCCATGTCCTTTGTGATGCTTAACCACATAAGTTTCATCTCATTAATCAAGCTAACCACTCCCTGTTCAGTGGTTGCAACATCTGTAAGTTGTATATGCTTCTATTACTGTTTTGTTATTTGAATTTATCTGTCTTTTCAAACTGGGACTCCTTAAGGACTGAGTACTTTCTTTATTTATTTAGATCTCTCAGTATCCAGCAAATAGATATTAGTAATTTTAACAGGAAAGGAGAGTGAGACTGGTATAAAAGAAGACCATTGGCTGGATCTTGAAGTAGGATTTTGACTGATTGGAGTAGAGTATAAAGAGCCAGGCATGGTGCACGCCTATAATCCCAACGATTTGGGAGGCTGAAGAAGGGGGATTGCAAGTTCCAGGCCAGCCTAGGGAATTTAGCAAGACCTTGTCTTTAAAAAAAAAAAAAAAGGCTGGGGATGTAGCTTATTGGTAGAGTGCTTGACTAACATGTGCAAGGTCCTGGGTTCAATCCCCAGCACTGCTAAAAAAGTAGAGAAAAAGGAAGAAAGGGACAGGGAGAAGAAAGAGGATTCAAGGCAGACAGCAGGATCAGCAAAGTCATGGGAGGATGTGACTTCACAGCAGCTTCCTAAGATGTTTTGGCACAGCTCATTTAGGGTGTGCTATGGGGAGTGATGGRGAATTAAGTTAGAGAGATTGGAGTCTCTTTATGAAGGGTTTTGAATCACATGCGTAAGTGCTGAGGTCTTGGGAGTAAGGAAGGCTCTATGTAGAGACAGACCCAAGTGTCTCCAATCTTACCCCAGGGGGTTAATGTCTCTCACTTATGGAGCTCTGTAGTGGTTAAGCTCAAGGGCTCTTAGAAAGTCAGATATTAATTAACCCTCATCTCCGTCTTTCCACTTACTGGCTATAAGCCTTTGGGCAAGTCACTTAAATCTCCTGAGCCTCAGTGTATAGAACTTCCTTTCCTCCATTAGGATAATATTTCTCTCCTGAAGTTGTTGAGAGGATTAAATGAGGTTATGTATGTGAACTGCCTTTCTCTGTGCTACCCTACAGTGAGCAATCAATACATATCTATTATCATATGTCTAGTTTTTCTTCCTTGTCTATAAATGCCTGTATTTCCTTTTCAGTTTAGCCATGTCTATTTGTCTGTGTGTGTCTCTAACTTCACCTCTGTTGCCACGCCTGCACAGTGCCATCCTCTCTGGCTCCACCCTCTTCCCCCAACAAAACATTGTCCTCTACCATAAAGTTGCAAAACTACCTTGTTTAGTGGTAAGTGCAGCTCTTACTTCCTTTTTTGCTACCCCTCCCTTCCTTTGCCCTCGGTTGGCTCTTCCTAGGTGGTGGGGGTGAGAAAGAGAGGAAAAAGTAGGGTATGATGGAGCCCTCTGCCCAGTTTCCAAAGGAAGACCAAAAGGCTTTCAATTCTGAAAGGGAAAAGGCGATTGTTATCACCCTGGAAATGTACCTCAGGGCCCTGGGCCCAGAGTTGTCTGTTGTCATAAGCAATAAGTCCATGTGTCCTGTGTCAGGGCACTTATACTCTCAAGGAGAAACCCTAGAGGGAACCGGATATACAGATGCTCAGTAGATTTTTTTCCCTAGTTATTGGGAATTAAACCAGGGCCTTGCACATGCTAGGCAACACTCTATCACTGAGCTACAACCCCAGCCCTTTTTATTTTATTTTGAGACAGGATCTTACTAAGTTGCCCAGGCTTGCCTCAACTTTATGATTGTCCTGCCTCAGTCTCCCAAATAACTGGAGTACAGGCGTGTGCCATTGAGCTGAGCTCAACAGTTGTTTGTTAAAAAAAAATTCTATTTTTGGATCACTTCCTAATGATAACCTACAATATAACATCAGTCCCTAAAGTCCTGTCCTGAGAATTCTGCCACAAATTTGCCTGGCCTGGCAGCTGAAAAGTTAGAATACAGACATTTGGTGGTGGTGGTGGKGGGGGGGGGTCAAAGAGTTAATGTGACAAAATGTTAACACTTGATGAATATGGATGAATAATATTTCAGTGTTCACTGACCCTATTCCTATTCTACTAACTCTTTCATAAACTGGGGTGGAGTGATAAAGCTTAAAAAAATCACTGCATAAATATTTGGTGGCTACCAAATACATGATCCTTCACCATAAGTGATTATTAATTACATTTCAGCTAATTCTCTCAATTGGGGTAATTTGAACAGGGTCTGGATGTTAGATATTATGAAGCATTATTTTTCTCTAGGTGCAATAATTTTGTTGTGTTGATGTGAGAAATCTTTAGGATATATGCTGAAGTGAGCTTTCCTTAATATGGCCTCAATATACTTTTTCCACCCCTTTCTTCAACCACTCCCTGTGCTGGGGCTCAGCTGCATTTCTCACTACTTTGCCTAAAAGGATTTACAGACTCCTGCTGGATTATGCTGGCATTCCTTGGCTGGAATGCTCTCTCACCMACTTGCCCGAGGAACTAGGAATCATCCACAATTCCTGTTTCAAATTCAGCCTCCAGAGTTAAGCCTCCCTCCATTCTCCCCACTCTTTCTGAATTCCCATAGATGTATGTATCTCTCAGCTCTCTTACTTTTATTTATTTATTTATTTTTTACTAGATTGTAAGCTTCTGACAGGCAAGAAAAGATTGCCTCTTATTCTGGATCCAGCCAAGTCCCCTGAACAAAGAAATTTTCCACAAATATTTGATGAATTAAATCTTCTGGGATAGAAGTTGAGTAAAAGTCAACAGAGAAAAAGACCAACAAAGGAGTATTAAAAAATGCTCTTACTTAGGGGAGATCTGAGAGGTCTGCCACAGAGAAATCACAAACAGATGGTGAATGCAGTAGTCTGAAATGTGAAGATGTAACAAACTGTAAAAATACAATGAAGCCAGCCTGAACCCAGTCTCATGTTGTGTTTGGGTGGGAACTGGAAAACAGAACAAGAAGAATGTTTCATCTCTATTGTGTTTAACAGTCACTTGACCGTTACTCCCAGTTTTTCAGGGGAAGATGAGCCTGTTTCCACTGCTACCCCTGATCCTTCTAAGAAAGGATCAGCAGGAAGTGGGGAGGCACAGATGTCAGAGTGGTTTATCAGGAACCTTGCAGAGGCAGCAGCCTGAGGTTATTCAAAGGCAGAACACCTGGGTTTCAGTAATTTTTCTGCCATTTGCCAATCTCTTTTGAAACTTGTTTCCTTATTTCTAAAATTGGGATCCTGGGGCTGAGAGTGTAGCTTAGTGGTAAAGCACTTGCCTAATATATGCAAACCCCTGGGTTCAAACCCCAGGACCAAAAAAAAAAAAAAAAGGAATACAAACATCTTATTTAAAGTGTGTTGAAGAGATGAAGTGAGATCATATTGCTAGAATGTTGGTTCCATAAGGGAGAGATCATGCCTTCTTATGTTCCTGTGCCTGCTCCATCACAGGCGCATGATATTTGACACATTAACYATTATTATACTTAAAAGATTATATCCTTTCTCTTTACTGAAACTGTCTCCCTCTTTACCTTATTATCAGTTACCTCCCAAAACACAACGACTCTGGTTGGGAGCTGAATGAACTGAACCAGCTCCATCTTCCCATACCATTCTCTCCCTTGTCCACACAGTACCTCTGGCTACCACTTCAAGTTCCATGTCTGTCTCTTCCTATATTTGAGTATGTGTTCAGAGTATGCTGTTTTCTGCATCAACCTGGAAGTTTCCCAGGGCAGACTCATGTTTGCTCTTCTTTCCCCACCTCGTAAGGGTTCAGGGCAGGAAGAAGAGGGTGCTAGCTGGGTGGCTGGTTTTCCTTTTGGGAAATATTTGACTCTGAGGTTCAAGTCCCCTCTCCTTTTCAATTTGGATTGCCACTCTGAATTTCATAAAGAATATCAACTCTCTTATTTTATAGATGCAAGATTTAAAGTCTAAAGCAGGCATTACTTGAGATTTTGGAGTCCATGCTTAAAAAGGATAGAAAGCCCAAAGTAAGGGCACAGTGTTGATGACAGACTAGGTCAAGACAGAGTGAAAGAGTGAAGCAAGCTGGTCATGGTGGTGCATACCTGTAATCCCAGCAACTCAGGAGGCTGAGGCAAGAGGATTGCAAGTTCAAAACCAGCCTAAGCAATTTAGTGAGGCCCTAAGCAATTTTTATTTTGTCTCAAAATAAAAAATAAAAAGGGCTGTGGATGTGGCTTAGTGGTAAAGCACATCTGGGTTCAATTCCTGGTTTTTTAAAAAAAATCAATTAGTGTATTTTTTTTTTTTTAACCAGGTTGAACCCCAAGGGTGCTTAACTACCGACCTACATCTCCAGCCTTTTTTTCTATTTTTTTTGAGACAGGGTCTTATTAAGTTGCTTAGGGTGTCACTAAGTTGCTGAGGTTGGCCTTGAACTTTCGGTCTTTCTGCCTCAGCCTTCTGAGCTGCTGGGATTACAGATGTGCACCATCACGCCCAGCTAATTACTATGTCTTTTTAAAAATTTTGTTTTGTGGTGCCCAGGATTTTGGTTATGCTAAGCAAGCACTCTTCCACTGAGTTCCATCCCTCGCCCTTGGTATTTCTTAAAAAAAAAAAATGCTATTATTTGTGAGATTGTTTTTCCTTCCTTTTTCTTTTCCTTTGGGGTTTTTGTTCTTTTTTTCAACCACAATGTGGCTTTCTCTGGGGTACCACCTGCTCCCCCATACTGTTTCTAACCCAACCTTCTCAATAAGCAGTCACTCTCTCTGATCTATCAGATTTGTAATTAGCCTTTAGAAAGGCTGAAACAACCACCAAGGTTAGAGTAAGTGAAGTAACTTAAGTTCAACACACAAAATCTTGCCCTTTTCCTCTTCTGTTTCACAGGACTTCAAAAGACAGAAAAAGTATATAGATCCTCTCCCTTCCATTGTGATCTGTTTTTGTTTTTGGCACTGGAGATTGAACCCAGGGGCACTTTACCACTGAGTCACTTCCCCAGCCCTTTTTATTTTTATTTATTTATTTATTTGAGAGAGAGTCTAAGTTGCTTAGCGCCTCTCTAAATTGCTGAAGCTGGTCTTGAATTTGTGATCTTCCTGTCTCAACCTCACGAATTGTTGGGATTACAGGCCTGCACCACCACATCTGGCTCCATTGTGGTCTCTTTTTTTTTAGTTGTTGATGGACCTTTATTTTTTATTTATTTCTATGTGGTGCTGAAAATCGAACCCAGTGCCTCACACATGCTAGGCAAAGGCTCTACCACTGAGCCACAACCCCAGCCCTCCATTGTGGTCTCTTAAAATCAGGAATGACATCTATATTCCATCACTGCTCAATTGATAACCCACTTGAGAGAGAGTTGGTTGCCCTTTATCCTTCCAAAGCCGCTTCTCCACCTTTACAATACAAATATTTCAGTTGTTAAGCCTGTGGTATTCATCTATATGCTTCTAAGACTGTAACTCTTAGAAAACCAAGACTGTATCTGAAGTCCTTCCTGTATCTCCATCCCCCTTTTTCTTCTGGCTTACCTGTTTTCCCATACCACCTTGTCTACTAGGTTGTTGGTAGGTGGAAGTTAGAAGCAAAAAAAAAAAAAAAAAATACATTGGACAGTTACAAAAATGCCATTAAAGTGTACAGAGTGTGTCCACCTGATATGGACAGGCAGGTTAAGTTGTAATGGGCAGCCTACCCAATGCTGGAGTAGGCTACCCAGATAAGAAGGGCACAATTGAAGAGATGCTCCATCATCCTGGGCAGGATGGTCTCCAATGCCAAAGGGAGGGTACAGGAAGCAGATATGGGTCATTAAACCACCACCAGAGGCCAGGAAGGGGTAGGTACAGAAAGAATTATGTAGATTCTTGAGTCCTCAGGGGATGTCAAAAGCCAAGTTTTAGTGTCGGTGTCGGGCATCACAGCTGGTTGTCACCGTCTTTGCCTTTAGGGAAATTACCCTCCAATTTCATCATCTGTAAAAAGGCCACCATCCTGGCCTTATTAAGAGGACGAACCCTGCAGCGTGGATGGCCGCCAACGCTGGCTCCTTTCTGTCACATTTTCTGGGTCAGCCTGAGGGTTGTTCCTGACAGAAACCGTCGTCTCCTGGGCTTCGCCCAGCCTTGCTCAAGATGGCCTGGTGTTCTCCGTTCTCTCCCAGCTGCCAGTTTTCATGGACACCCACTCCCCACCCCACTTCCCCGGGGGTCAGCGGGGACCCTCCTCCTCGGCCCAGGCCCCACCGCCTACCTTCTCCTGGGCCCTGCTGAACTTCTTCTGCACCTGCTTGGCGAAGAGGCCGGCGGCGCCGCTCGCCTTGCCCTCGGCCATCCTGCCGCTCAGGGGCGGCTGGCCCAGCTCGCTGTGGTTTCCAGAGGCCCCGGGAGGAAGTGCTGCGGCTCCCAGCGTGCCTCGCGCCAGCCAGCAAGCAGGCGGCCTGGGCCTCCCCTCCTGCCCCCAGGGCTGCCCTCCTGCCCCCAGGGCTGCCCCCCTGCCCTGGCCAGGCTCTACAGGCCACCCCAGCCCCACACCAAAGACACCCACAGCCTCGAAGACTGGACCACAGACACCAAGGCCCATCCACAGCCCCAAACAGCCCAGCTCAGGGTGCAGCCCAGAGCAGCAGGCTGGGGGCCCCGTGGGGACATCCCCAGGCTGGGTCAGTGGGTCCTCACTTTGCCTGTGGCAGGGGAGCATYGACCCCACTGAACAGGATCTTCAAATGTGAGCCTAGACTCATTCCTTCCAGAAAACAAATTAGCCAGCACATCAACATTGGAAAATAACAAACAACCTGGCAGAAAATGTTGAGTTCAACTCACTGTGGCTATTTATTGTATCAGAAAACGTCTCTCAATTCTAGGAGTATTCGTGTGGTGTGGGCAAGTCAACTGTATTTCTTGCCCCAGGTTGCGGTTTAGCTACTGCCTGAGAGGTTGGCTCTGAGTCTGGAATTGCTAGTGGGAGAATGCCGAAAGGAGCCAGGGCTTCAGATCTGGATGTGAAAGGGAGCAACAACCGCAGAGAGAAAAGTCGTCTTTAGGAAATGAGGCGATCTTATTAAAAAAAGGACTGAGTATGCGAGCCTGTGCAGGGGACGGGGAGCAAGTTTTTCTAGTTGGAGTGCAGTATACTAGGTGGAAGCCGAATGTGAACTCAGACACAGATTGTGCAAATTAGGATGGGGCTACTGAGATTACTAATAACTGTTGTCTGTTTGAGGGGTTAGCTGGAAATTGGGATATTACATTTGGAGGAACCATTTATTCAAGGATTCTACAGTGTGAGGCTGGGGATGTGGCTCAGCGGTAGCGCGCTCGCCTGGCATGCKTCCGGCCAGGGTTTGATCCTCAGCACCACATACCAACAAAGATGTTGTGTCTGCTGAAAACTGAAAAATAAATATTAAAATTCTCTCTCTCTCTTAAAAAAAAAGGATTCTACAGTGCATATTAAATTCTTTCAAGGAAGGAAAAGAGATCAAAATATACTTCCCAAGAAGTTGGAGGCCTGCCACAAAATTACCTGCTGTTGTTTTGCACTTCTTCCCCCCCGCCCCCAGTAGACACAGTGCACTCAAACTAAACTGTRTGCCAGGCATTGATGGTGCTGGGAAGCCAAGGATGAATACAATGTAGCCTCTGACCTCAAGATGTTCACAGTCTGGTGGAGCTAGGTTGGTAATCAGATGATTCCACTGTAGTCTGCTTAGTTCATTTACAGAAATGGACACAAAAATTTTAGGCAATAAGTGATTAGTGTTTATTCTGATTTTAGCTTTTTGTGATCATCTGTGAGAGCCATAATGGTAAAGATGGAAGGACTTGATGTTGGATGGAGAGGAGAGGAAAGAAATGCAGAGGATGGTGATGCTGCTGGGACACCAAGAGAAGATAACAATGACAACAGGTGCATCACTAGCAGAAGGAAGCTGATACCTAGGGTCATTCCCAAGACTCCACAGCACTCTTAGCAATGCATCGCAGCTACTACCTTCTAGGAAACTCTCTTCAGTGCCAGTATCTTGGGAACTGAATTTGATGGTCACCCAGTCATTTAGTATTAAAGCAGGAACAATACTTAGAAGTTGATTAGATGGGTAAATCAAGTTATAGAAAAGGATTAATTTGCCCAAGCTACCCCCTCTAATTCAGTGGACAGGAACTCGGGTGTCCTGACACCAGCCCAGCTCTTATAGTATATACCACATTCTGGAAGCCTCTGTTGATATAATAGGACCAATTTCAGGACCTGTTTTAGCTAATTTCCCCTGCTGTAATGTTTACTACCCTAGTCCCTCCTCTCTGGCCTTTAGTGATGGTTATGAAAAGCAACTTCTCATCTGCTTAGACTTCTTCTTTCATTTCCCCCTTTGCTTTCTCCTAGGCTACTCTTAACAGACTGAGCCTTTGCTAGGACAGAGCAAAATTATCAGCTTCCCAGTTCTCTGTGGTTTATAGAACCCTGGATCCAGTTGCTTATTTTAGTACCAGCCTTAAAGTGCTGATTCACACTTAGCTTGAGGCCCCATCCTGTTGTTGCCTCTTCCTTTCTGTTCTGCATCTTCCCCTCAACCTTTTCCTTTGTTTGTTTAGTATCTTCTTTCTCTTTATTTAAAATCTGATTTGTTTTTAGTTCTTTGTTCCCCAGTCCCCTAACTTGCCACTTCCTTAGTGTTCTGGCATCTGTCCTACCAACCTAATCCTATACTTCTATCTCTAGTGTATCTTTTTTTTTTTTTTTTTTTTGGAACTGGGGGTTGAACCCAGGGGCACTTAACCACTGAGCCATGCCCCTAGCCCTTTTAAAATATTTTATTTAGAGTCAGGGTCTGACTGAATTGCTTAGGGCTTCATTAAGTTGCTGAGGCTGGTTTGAACTCATGATCCTCCTGCCACAGCCTCCTAAGCTGCTGGGATTACAGGTGTGCACCACCATGCCCAGCTCTAGTATATTCTTGTAGTTCCTGTTGCCCAGAAGCTTAGGGTAAGCATTTGTTCTAGGCACTGGAGGGGGGAAACATAAGGAGGATGAGCCCACAGTCTACCTTGAGGAGTTAGGGCACATTTGGTCACTAAGGAACTTTTAAAAGAACTTTATGCCTTTCAATATAGCAAATATGCATAGGAGGGGGCATATGAATAAATTAATGGATAAGGAGTTCCTAAAATAGCCTAAAATGGATAATGTAAAACCGCTCCTCCTGGGCTTAGTTTGTGAACTGGTAAAGATAGAAGCAAAAAGGAAGCAGCAGCCCACAGATATGGTGAAATCCAAAGTGGGTCCTATAACTTCATTTCCTCTAGAGGGCTTAATTACAAATAGACATAGTATGATAGTGTACATTCATTTTTATTTGCTTTTTTTTATCTCTCATTCAATAGTCTCTTAGATTGTGCCCCCACCCCACCCCGTTGGGAATCAAACCCAGGGCTTTGGTCATGCTAGGTAAGCAATCTACACTGAGCTATACCCCCAACCCTGTTTTTTCCTTGTTGATCTCAAGTCCTATTGCAGATCTAAGAACCATCTTTGGAAGACCAATGGACTCAAGATAATGTTCAGTTGTTTTGAAAAACCTAAAGGAAAAAAAAAAACAGTTATGTCCACAGTCAGTCAGTGACTTTTTTTTTTTTTTTTTGGTGGTACAAGAATTGAACTCAGAGATGCTCTACCACCTCTACCACTTCTACCTCTCAGCCTCAGCCCAAGCCTTTTTTTTTTTTTTTTTAATCTGAGACAAGGTCTCACCAAGTTGGCTGGCTTTGAACTTGAATTTTCCTACCTCAGCTGGGATTACAGGTGTGTGTCATAGCACCTAACCCACAGTCAGTAACTTCTGTCTACCTTCTTAGTTTTTTAAGACTCCCAATTAAGTACGGCCCTACTTAATTAAGTACGGCCCTTATAAGGATGGGGTTTAAGGTTTATAAGGATGGGGGTAAAGAGATTAGGTCTTAGATATGTCAGTATTATAGGTATATGCTCAGGACATAGCAGCAAGGACAGACTTTGAAATTGCTGTGAGCCAAGATTCATGTCACAAGACTCCGGGATGCATTACGAGTACACAGTGAGATGTATTATGTGGTTCTACTACCACATCAGTGTAGGCAGAGTCTCATTTAACTCTCAAGCATTGCTTAAGGTGGTAAAATTTCTTTCAAAAGTTAAAGCAAAATCTCAAAATGCCCTCAGAAAGAAATTGTGGGAAAGGAGCATATCCTGAGGGCCCCACAGGTGTTTCTGAGTTTCGTTTTCCCTTGACTTGGAATTAGGATGTGTGCCTGGTTCAGATCTATGGTTGCCCCAATCTTAGCCTAAGCTAAGCAATACAGTGAAATCTGCTCAATGGGAAAGGGAACTCAGAAATATGGAGGGAAAGTACACTTCCCCTCTAGGGGAAGGGAAGGGACTTTACATAAGGAAAACAATTATTGTCCCAGTCCACCTTTTGCTCCCTAACCTAGCCAGTATATGGATCTCAAGGTAACCTGTTTCATCCCATTATTTGAGAGGACTCACCCTATTTATCCAAAAGATGTAAGCAGAGACCCGGGTGAAGACTGTGGGCTTCATGGAGACATTACAGCCCAGGCTGGACACAAAGCTGGTCACTCCGTAGACAGAATACTTGCCTCTCACCGAGCAGTGGAGGGGACCTCCAGAATCACCCTGCAAGGAAGAGAAGCAGAGTCCTAAAACTAGATCTTTTGATCTTTCTGCCTTGGCTTATGGTCTGCTCATTCCCCCCACCCCCCCTTTTGTGTGTGTGTGTGTGTGTGTGTGTGTGTGTGTGTGTGTGTATTTAGTTGTAAATGGACACAATACCTTTATTTCACTTATTCACCTTTTTTTATATGGTGCTGAGGATCGAACCCAGTGCTCCACATGTTYGAGGCAAACACTCTATCCCAGCCCCTGCTTACCCCTTTCTTTTTGTGAGATCTTGTATAGTTTTAAAACTGCAGTTCAATTATCTACTTCCATCATATCTTCACAATCAAAATGAATCTCTTCTTCCTTTCTAAACAACCAAAGCACTTCTTCCTCTCTTTGCAGCAGTTGCCTTGTATTTTGGTTTCATAATTTGCTTCTGCCTCCCACACATATCTATGAACTTCTAAGTCAGGAACTATGTCTTACTGGTATTATTCCTCTTCACAGTGCTAGCATAGAATGCTTTTGTTGTTTGTTTTTGTGGTGCTGGGGATGGAAACCAGGGCTTTGCCCACGCTAAGCACATACTTTTGACACTGAGCTACATCCTTAGCCCAAGCACAAAATTTTGAACTCTTTTTTTTTTTTTTGGCAGTACTGTGGATTGAACCTAGGGATCTCTACTACTAAACTATACCCACAGCCATTTTATTTTATTTCATTTTATTTGTTTATTTTTGTAGTACTGAGAATTGAATCCATGGCCTTGCACATGCTGGGCAAGAGCTCTATTACCAAGTTACATTCCAGCCCCTTTTATTTTTTATTTTTTCCCATGCTGGCCTTAAACTTGTGATCCTCCTGCCTCAGTGTCCCAAGTCATTGGGATTACAGGGGTGTGCCACTGTACCCAAATTGAATTTTGAATATCATAAATTCAATAGTTGACTTAAATTGAACCTGGGATAGGAGAAGTATATAGTTCTAATAATTCCTTTATCCCCAGTATTTAGATCAATGGGTCTAATTATACCAAAATGTTCAGAGAGTAGGTAATCAACACATGTTAAACTAAGTGTGGTAAAGAGAAGAGAAAGTGATGAATAAGGTAATGGTTATGTGCTCAGGCTTAGCAGTACAATGACCCAGAGGTTTATAGACTAGGATATCGACACCGTTCTTACTCAGCTTTTAGAATGCCAGGTGTATAATGCCAGACATAAAATTAGAAGACCCCTAGGTTCAATCCCAAATTCTGAACAAAATAAAAAATAAGGGGTTGGGGATTTGTCTCAGTTGCCTCACATGCACAAGGCCCTGGGTTCAATCCCCAGCACCACAAAATATAAATAAATAAATACATACATACTAAGAGAGAGGAGTAAAGGAATAAAAAGTGAAGGCAAACTCTATGCAGGGAGAAGAAAGAAAATAAGCAATAAAACTATAGTTAAGGGCTGGGGATGTGGCTCAAGCGGTAGCATGCTCGCCTGGCATGCGTGTGGCCCAGGTTCGATCCTCAGCACCACATACAAACAAAGATGTTGTGTCCCCAAAAACTAAAAAAAAATTTTAAAAAATCTCTTTTTTTAAAAAAAAACTATAGTTAATATTGCATCCATGATACAAGAGAAGCATGTCATTAAACAGTATGTTTAGAGAACAAAAATTTACAAATCTGATAGTAGAAATGAAAGTTTGGGAGTGTTGGAACATAGAGTGAACAAACAAAATATATAGGAGAGGACCAGGAGATAAACATGTGAACAACAAAAATTCTAGAAAGGGCTGGGGGCAGTGGTATATGCAGCTCAGTGGTAGAGCAGTCACCTAGCATACAAAAAGGCCTGGGTTTCAGCTCCAGCACCAACCAACCAACAAACAAAAAATTCTAGAAAGAGAAAACTAAGAATGTAGGGGAAAAAACTATTAAGAATAAACATTTTTCAGAACAAAAGATTTGGAGTTTCTACAAAGAAAAAAACCCACTAAGTATCCCTCATAATAAATATAAATAGACCTTCACCAAGACACAGACCAATAGTGGTAAGAGTAGCTGAAACAGGTAGGTTAAAAATTAGTGGAGAAGCTGGTCATGGTGGCTCAGCCCTGAAATCTTATTTACTCCAGAGGCAGGAGGATCTCAAGTTCAAGGCCAACCTTGGCAAATTTAGCAAAATCCTGTTTCAAATTTTAAAATAATAATAATATTAAGGCTGGGAAAAGAGAATAAAATCATGGCACTTGCAGGTAAATGGATGCAGTTAGAGAAGATAATGCTAAGTGAAGTTAGCCAAACCCAAAAAAACAAATGCCGAATGTTTTCTCTGATATAAGGTGACTGACTTATAGTGGGGTAGAGAGAGGGAGCGTGGGAGGAATAGAAGAACTCCAGATAGGGCAGAGAGGTGGGAGGGAAAGGGAGGGGCAGAGGGTTAGCAATGAAGGTGGAATGTGATGGACATCATTATCCAAAGTACATGAGTTGGTGTGAACATACTTTATATACAAAGAGACATATGAAAAATTGTGCTCTATACGTGTAATAAGAATTGTAATGCATTCAACTGTCATTTTTTTAATATTTATTTTTTAGTTATAATTGGACACAATACCTTTATTTATTTATTTTTATGTGGTGCTGAGGAGCAAAACCCAGGCCCTCACACATGTGAGGTGAGCGCTCTACCGCTGAGCCACAATCCCAGCCCCTCACTGTCATGTATTTAAAAAATAAATTCAATTAAAAAAAAAAAACTGTTACCAGCAAAAAAAAAAAAATAGAGGAGAATGTAGAGTTGAATTAGTGATGAATTGACTATGTATTCAGCAAATGAAAAAGTTACTGACTCCAGGGAAAACAAAATTAACATGAGAAAGAAAAAGTAATCATAGAATAGTACATGATTTACTTGTGAATAGCATTTTACATAATCATAATAAACATTGATTGTTAATCTAATCAAAAATATTTGGGGGTGGTAGAGAGTTTGAGGAGGTGATGGGAAAAGCTCATGGTTGGCAGAAGGAGACAATGTGTGGGCATAAGAGAGAWCCACATATTCCATAATACCTGAACTGAAAAGTTAAGTAGTAATGTTAAATATATATTTTAGGGGCTGGTGTTGTAGCTCAGTGGTAGAGCGCTTGCTTGATATGTCTGAGGCACTGGGTTTGATTCTGAGCAGCATATATAAATAAATAAATAAAGATCCACCGATAACTTAAAAAATATTTAAAAATTAATTAAATAAATAAAGTTATTGTGTCCATCTATCTCTATCTCTATCTATATATCTATATCTATATATTCTTTTTTCCCATAGATGGAGGTAGACTGCAAAACAATCAGTGGAAAGAGTTAAAAGTGGACCCCTCTTTTATTATTCTTTTATTTATACTGATTACTCTTTTTCACTATGGAGTCTCTTGGTCTTATTTGCCAGTTTAAGCAATTTGATAGGTATAGCTTCAATAAAACTTAACCTTAAAAATAAAAACAAAACAGGAAAGGAAAGAAAACACCAAAAGTTCAAATTGGAGAGAATTCTTTTAGAGAGGAACTAGCTGTACCCCACCCCAACTGCTTAGGAAAATTTTTTCTTTTTAGACTACTATAATCAAAACAAAACAACCTGAATCTCTTCTACCTATATCCTACCAGGGATTTGAGAGTTTTTCAGAGCTAGAGGAACAGAAGATAATTAAATTGTATGAAATACCATTGTCTTATGCTAATTGACCGGAAAGAGAAGGGGTTCTGAAGGGTGGAGAGTGTGGCTGAGGATTTTAGGGCAGAAGGAAGAGCTGAAAAAGAATTTACTGGAAATGGGCCCATTGAATCAGGAGCGGCCCTGTGAATTCACTCTGAGGAGAAGGGAACTCAGAATTCTGAAAGGCCACAAGACACTATTTGGGAAACTCCAGTGGGAAAACACCTAGAAACACAATTGTCTCAGAGAATTAACAACTTGGTGGCAGCTGGAAGAGAATTACCCTGGTTTTTCAGAGTTCTAGGCCTTGAGAAAGCAGAAAGGTGTGAAATTTACTCAGAAAGATATAAATCTTAAGAGGTTATAGACTGGGCTGGGGCTGTAGCTCAGTGGCAAAGCACTTGCCTAGCATGTGTGAGGCACCGGGTTTGATCCTCAGCACAACATAAAAATAAATGAATAAAATAAAGGTATTGTGTCTATCTACAACTAAAAAACAAGGAACAGTTATAGACTGATGAGGACTTAGAAAAGGTTACATATGCATTAGTCTGTTTCTCTTGGCATTTAAGTTTTAACACTGTGAAAGCCATAGAAAAACTGGGGTAAGTTGGTCACCTTATTTCCATAATTCTTTGGGTGTGTGTGTGTCACAAAAATCCCTTTAATTCTGTCATTCTACTATTTCAGCCATCCAACCAGCTTCCTGCTAGTGACATCTCTTCCTCCTCCGTGTAGCTTGTACCTTGTAGTTGATCTGCAGTTCTGTTCAATTTCCAGACTCATGCAAGAAACCCAGGTCTGGATTAATCCATTCCCTCCATCTGGGTCTGTGAGTAAGATGGAGTATACATCCAGGGGGTCACTACCTAGTCTCCAACTTCAACACATTGGAGGACAATCTTCCTTCCCTTCACCTCTTTATTCCAAATGCATATAACCTTTGCACCTTCATTTTTAGCAGTCAAGTGGACTCTTCCTAGTTCATGAGTAACCAGAAGCAATAATACAGAACACCTGACAACTTGCAGCTACCCACCCTACAAACTCTTTCACATTCATGTGTATGTCTGGTGTCCCTCCTCCTCGTCAAAGTCAGTTCCCTCTATGCTCTTGGTTCCAACTCTCCCTTCTCTTCTGGGATCTTGTGCCATCCATTATTCCCTTTCTAACTTTGCACTCAGTTTCTTTCCCTTTTAAAAGATACATCCCCTCCATGATTTGCTGTCATTAAAAGTACCAGACTTTTTCTGTTCCTCCCATTCATTCAAGATTCTTGAGAGAGTTATTTACATCCTCTGCAATTTTTCTTATTGCTTCTTTATTCCTTACCCTTTTTTTAAAAAAATTTTTTTTAGTTGTACACGGACACAATACCTTTATTTTATTTATTTTTATGAGGTGCTGAGGACTGAACCCAGTGCCTCACACATGCTAGGCAAACGTTCTACCACTGAGCTATAACCCTAGCCCACACACATTCCTTACCCTTTGATTGAGCTTCTGCCATCACCACTAAAACTGCTCTTGCTGTGATTAACAGTGATTGGCCAGTTGCCAAAGTAGCCACACTGTGTAATGACCTTCAGTATTTCCTGAGATTCTGTAAATCCCTGCTACACATTTTTCTCATAACTCTACTCTTCCTCTCTTACTTAGAACTCTAGTGAGTTCTTTGTTCTTCACCTGGCCCTAAAGCACTCAAGCATTTATATTCTTGTAGTTTTTCCCTAACTCACTGCTTCTCATTCTACAACTTTTCCCTGGTGCGGGAGATAGAATATCAGTTGCTCTCAAGTGTCTCCAACCCCACTTTCTGCCCCCAGTTCCTCTTTCTTATATCTAATTTTTTATCAGTTAGCTTAATATCCAAATCATGCTAATCTCTGTTGGAACCTTTATATTGTAGTACAAAGGCAGCCCTAAAACACTATGTAAATCAGCTGAGGCCATGTCCCCTCCCCCAAAAATGTCATTTAGAACACTGCAAATTTATATATTTTTCATGTCATGAAATATTATTCTTTTAAATATATATATATATATATTTTAGTTGTAGGTGGACACAATGCCTTTATTTTTATTTACTTATTTTTTATGTAGTGCTGAGGATCGAACCCAGTGCCTCACCTGCGCTAGGTGAACACTGTACCACTGAGCCACAACTCCAGCCCCTAAAATATTATTCTTTTGATTTTTTTCCCCTAACCATATAAAAATGGACCATATCAAATCAGGCAGCAGGCTGGATTTGGCATGTGGCCCTTAAACCTCTGCTCTGCTGTAGCTGTAGGGAACGCCCAGTAACTCTTCATGTGTTCTAAGATTCAACTAATGTCTTTATTCATGCTGTCCCCTTTTCTAAATGTCTTCCCACCCCCCACCCCCTTTTTTTTTTGGTCTAGCTTCCTTCTATTTAACCTTTAGGACTCACAGCACATTTTACTTTCTTAGAGAAAGTTCTTTTCTGACTCCATGAGTACTTGCCCTCAGGTCCCCATATCACTCTCTGCGTGTCTTTTTTTTTAGCACTTAGTCACAATGTATTCTAATATCCTACTGGATTCTCCCCCCCTTGACATTGTCTGATTCATTCATCTTTGTATCCCTAGCACCTAGCACAGTGCTTGGCATGTAGTAGATTACACACCAAACATTGTTGAACTGCATTAAGAAATCTGTAAAGTGGCTGGGCGTGGTGGCTCATGTTTGTAATTCCAAGCAACTTGGAAGGCTGAGGCAGGGGAAACGAAAACTTGAGGCCAGCCTCAGCAATTTAGCAAGACCCTCAGCAACTTAGTGAGCAATCCTGTCTTAAAATAGAAATTAAAAAGGGTTGGGGACATAGCTTAGAGGTAAAGCACCCCTGGGTCAAATCCAATTTGGGCCCCCAAAAAAGAAAAAAGAAAGAAATCTATAATATGACTTATTGCTGACTGATCTTGTCTAAACAGAGTAAAATTCTATTATATAAAAACTATTATAAAATTATTTTGTGTACTTTCCCCTACCATATTCGCTTGTAATCTACTGCTGTAAATACTACTGGGGTAAAGGGGTGGTAATGGAGGAAATACAGGAACAATTGGGATTGATAGGAGTGGGAGCTACCTTACACCCAATTATAACCATCTTTCCAGCCTCAGCCCCATTCCTGTCATAAAAAATATAGGTCACAAGTTCTGAAGAACATATATATATATATATACCAATATACAAATATTAGGCCATACACAAGCTTCTGAGGTGGGGACATCAAGTAAAACAAAACTTTTGGGGGATGGGTACTAGGGATTAAACTCAGGGGTGCCTTACCACTAGATTATATCCCCWGGCTTTTTTATTTTTTGAGACAGGGTCTTGTTAAATTGCCTGGGCTGCTTTTAAACTTGCGATCCTTCTGCTTCAGCCTCTCACATAGCTGAGATTATAGGTGTGGCAAGCAAGACAAAATTTTTTTTCTTTCAATATTTTTTTAGTTATCAATAGACCTTTATTTTATTTATTTATATGCAGTGCTGAGAATTAAACCCAGGGCCTCACACATGCTAGGCAAGTGCTCTACGACTGAACTACAACCCCGGCCCAAGAAAGACAAATTTTAAGGCTCCTTTCAACTTTGAGATTCTGCAAGGATAAAGTTACTAACACAGAACCATTCTCATTCTGATACCAGAATAGGAAKTGGAGACTGTATGTGGATACCAGAGTAGGTGTGGAGTGAGCCAAAGGTGGAGGGAAGTGGGGAGAACAGAGGGGAAAGCAATGAAGTGGGACTCCTGATGCTTGTAATTTTTACCTGGCATCCAGCAGTAACTCCATCTCCACCAGCACACATCATGGTGGTCTTCACGGCGGAACCCCAGTAGGAAGGGTGAGAGCAGGTGGCATGGTCCACGGTGGGCATGGGCGCCTGATGAAGGGTCTGGGCTAGCTGTCCTTCGGCTAAACAGGGCATACAACACTGGAAGTCAGCCCCTGATGCTGACTAGGGAAAAATCCTTCCACACCCTGCTAAACTGTCCCAAGCTTTGGTGTACCATGGAGTCAGGGTGAGCTCCTTCTCTCTGCTTGTCATAGGTCATGAATCCTCCTCTCTTTTCCCTCACGTGCTAGGCAAGGGCTCTACCACTGAGCAATACCCCAGCCCTTTTAATTTTATTTTGGGACAGTGTCTTGCTAAGTTGCCCAGGCTGGCCTCTCTCCTCCTTATATGGCAGCTACCGGCTTCTTCCTTTGGGGAGGTATCCTTGCTTATTGTTCCCAGCCTCTAAACCAAGAATCCTATTCCTGCTTTCTATCACTCATGGATAACTGTGTTAAGGAATTAGAAAGGCCTTATTTGTTGACAACTCATCTGTGTGTCCTACTCCTTACAATACAAGTAGAACAGTGATCATGCACACCTGTTTTTATTTCTTAAGAGCCTGGTACAGCTTTTTTTACTTGACTCTTGTGGCTTTTCAAAGTCTTCAAGAAAGACAAATTTTAAGGCTCCTTTCAACTTTGAGATTCTGTGAGGATAAAGTTACTAACACAGAACCATTCTCATTCTGATGCCATGTGCTATTTCTTTGGATCATTGCAACAATGCTTAATGTTATGGATCAAGAAATTGAACCACAGTGACATTCAGTGAACTGACAGGAGGGCAGAGTTGGATTAGAAGCATGTCTCTTTCAGCTCTAGGTTTTCCCAATGGACTGGCTGGTCACAGCATGACTTGCCTGTCCTTCAGTAAAGAAAGTATCACCTTGTGGCTGACAGTCTTTTGCATCAAGATTAATGTTCCTTCCTATTTCTCTTCATAGCCTTCCTACCTTTCCATATTTTCTGAATAATATTCCCTACTTGAAATCTTCTCATAATGATCAGAAGAGGGCTGAGACTTCCTCTGCCCTGACTCATGAGGATCTATAGCTACTCCTGGTTCATTTATTCCAACTCAGCCCAGTACCTGTCTATGGAGGTAGCATGATGGTATAATTACCAATAAAGTGAGACCCAGGATGCCTGGCTTCTGAATCCAGATTTGTACTAATAGTCATGTGATTAAGGTCCTTAATTTCATTGGGCCTTAGWTTCTTCGTGTAAGAAGTCTTATCTATCTATCTATCTATGTATCTATTTATTTTATACTGGGAATTGAACCCAGGGACAATTAACCACTGAGTCACATCCCCAGTCCTTTTATTTATTTTTTTWAATTTTGAGACAGGGTCTTGCTAAAGTTGCTTAGGGTCCTCACTAAATTGCTGAGGCTGGCCTTAAACTTGCAATCCTACTGCCTCAGTTTCCTGAGTGGCTGGGATTACAGGCATGAGTCACTGCACCCARGTGAAGTCTTTTTTAGTTCTTAGGGTCTATGAATCGCTGACTTGACTATTCCACCGCCTGTWCTTAGCTTAGTTTCATGTATCAGTTATTTTATCTATGGTCTTTAGGTTGTTGGTTTCTGACTATAAACACCTAGAACCACAGAAAGATATACTCCAGAAGCTTAGCTGCATTATCAAGATCCCAGTGGTAGATGGTGCCAATGTAGATAACTTACTCCTGGTCCTGCCCCAGCCTGTGATGGAGCAAGGATATTTGTTTCTCAGAATGATTCCTTTCAGGGGCAGAGCAGACAGCTGGACATAGCTATTGAGGGTAACGCTCTGGGTTAGGCGCAGCAGGGCGATGTCATGGCTGCAGGAGGAAAGGAGACAGTTCACTGGTGGAATCAGGTCTTCCCTCTGATCAGCATTGGCACTGGTCAGTACTAAGCTTTTGTCACTCCATCTAGCTGGAAACCAACACTTGCAAGAAGGAAGCTAAGTTGCTAAGCATTTGAGTTTACAGTAGGACATTATATGTTTAACAGCACCATCTGCTGGAGAAATTTTTATATTGCAGCCTGGCTCTGATCTGTGCATCCCTGGGAAGTGGAGAATGGGTAATCAGAATGGAGCAGATGGCATGATATTGGGGGCAGCTTTTAAAGAAAGATGTGAAAGACTGCATGGCTCTGAAAGCTCTGCAGAAGTGTCCCAATACTTGTACCCATCCCCACCTCCACACTCTACAGAATTATCACCTTTTTTTCCTTTATTCTTTCTTTTAAACTTTTTCTTTCCTTCCTTCTCCCTCCCCCCTCTCTCTCTTTCTTTTTCTTTCTTTCTTCTTTCTTTCTTTTGGTGTTGGGGATGAAACCTGGGTCTTCATTCATGATAGGCAAGTGCTCTACCACTGAGGTAAATCCAAAGCCTTGAAAAAAATCACTTTAATAATTTCTTCCCCAGGGCTGGGGTTGTGGCTCAGTCGTAGAGCACTTGCCTTGCATGTGTGAGGCACTGGGTTCAATTCTCAGCACCGCATATAAATAAATGAATAAAATAAAGATCTGTCAACAACTAAAAAAAATTAAAAATAATTTCTTCCCCAAAAGTGTACAACTTGGTCTTATGTAAGGTTCATTTTAAGAAATTTCCTTTTGACACTGGGTCTTAGCCCAGTGGGAGAGCTCGTGCTTAACATGCCTGAGGCCCTGAGTTTCTTCTCCAGCACCAATAGAAAAAAAAAAATCTCCCTTTACTTATAGAGTGTATTCCATAAAGTGAATAATAAATAATAACAAACAAATAAAGCCTAGAGACATTAAAATAGAGAGAAGGGCTTTCACTTAATCAAATCACGCAAACCCACCTACATCGAACAAATCCTAAAGATCTTCAGAAATTCTCAAGCCCTCCCCAATCTAAATTCTCAAAGTTCTTCTGGATGAATGAGCCAGTTTATTACTCCCTGTAGGACATAGTGCCCAGAGATTCTCCAGACTCCTCATCAAAGGCCCCATAAGCCACCAAGTTTCAGGCAATGCAGGCCCCTCTAGCCTCTGGGAGAACACGTGAAGGGAACCAAGACCCAACTAGATCCAGCAGCTGGCTCATCAGCTCTCCACCCCCCAGTTCCACCTTGTCCCTACCCGGCAGCCACGTCCTTGCTGTCCCAGTTCGGGTGTATCACGATCTTATCCACTTCCATGTACTGCTCCGTCCCTTCTTCCTTTCCGAGGTTGTGGTCCCCAGCCACCACACGGAAGACCATTGGGCTGGAGTGAGAGGGGAAAGCCCTGAGTGATTCAGGAGGCTCCCTTTCCTCCCGAGAGGAAAGTTGAAAAGAACTCTTTTATCTTTAGGATAGGAACCCATCTTAGTTGGCCCGCAGACGAGGATGGAAGACCCTCCAAGAGGAGGAAGTAACAAGCTCTCTCATTCCTTAATTTACTACTGACTTGTGGAAGTGGGAAAACTATCAACTTCATGTTCACGGTTTATTAAGCTAAACATCTTCACCTGGGACAGCTGTAGTAAGCACAGTAAAATCATGGCTCTTAGCCACAGAAGGACTTTAAAGGAAGAACAAACTTCTCGGCTAGTAATTGTGGTCCTGGAACCAGCCTCACTCGGGACTAACCAAATCAGAAACTTTGCTGAGTGGAGCCTTGTGCTTTCCAGGTGACCCCCACACAAACACCACACACACACACACACACACACACACACACACACACACACACACGGGATTGAACCCAGGGGTGCTTTACCACTGAGCTACATCCCCAGTCCTTTGTATTTTTTTATTTTGAGATGGAGTTACATTAAGTTGCTGAGACTGGCCTCAAACTTGTGATCCTCCTGCCTCAGCTTCCTCCCAAGTTGCTGGGATTAGAGGTGCACCAGGTGATTCATGCTCAAATATGAGAACTTCTGCTCATGACAAATATGAACAAACTTTAGTTCTATGTTGACTAGGCACTTAGATATTTACTCACTCCTCATAACGGCTCTACAAAATAGGTATTATTACCTAGTTTTAGAGATAAGAGAATGGGAGACTAGAGGAGCTAAGCAAGTTGCCCAAGGCTACATGGGTAGGAGACAGTGCAACAAAATTTGGAAGGGATCCTTCCTGACTCCAAAACTTGTACTTTTCTCTCATACCCTTGCTCCACTGACTCCTAAACACAGATGGGCTGGGCAACAGCCCACTGCCCACACCCATATTATACTGCCCCTGTATAAGTTAAAGTTGCGTATTTCTCCAAAAAGATAACTTTTTCCCCTCCCAGAGGCTCAGAAATGTTAGTCTTTGTTTTTTCTCACTGGTCCACGCAGTGAGCCGCTGTCAACACCCAGTTCTCTTTGACGAGGGTCCCTCCACAAGTGTGAAACCAGGAACTTCCAGACTGGTACTGGAGGGAAACCTAGACGGGGAGGAAAGAAAAGAAGAATAGGCTGGTGTTTGCCCAAAGTCTTTGCCCCCAAACATGTCACCTTAAATTCCTGACTTCCCTCAGGACATCCTCTTAACTTTCTGGACTAGGGAGAGCAGGCAGGTTTCCTTTGACCAGTCAATTGCTATTGTTTGTTTGGTAATGGCTACTCAGGGGGTGTTGTTGAGAAGGGGTGCATAGATGTTTCTGGGGTCAGCTGGAAAGGGTGCTCCATTGTTTGGTGATGTTTGCTGTGCACATGGATAGGGAAATAAAGGCACAATACTGTATTTGGCATTTATAGGCTAGTGTTGCAATGGGCCTAGAGCCCAGGTCCTTTTATCTCTGTACCCTGTTGGAAAGGAAATGTATCCAGTTGTAACTCCTTCATCTAAGCCCTATACCATTTAGTTCTCAAGAGTTCTCCCTTCAATGTTTTCAAGAAGTATCCTGTACCCCCAACCCAGGGAATACTTAGAAATGCTAATGGAATGCTTTTTTTTTTTTTTAAGTTCATGCTTCCTTGTATCACACAGCGAATCTCCTGAAGATTGGGGCTCAAACTGTCATAAATTGAATCTAGTTTAATTTCCAGGTGTGGCTATTCACCAATCAATATGCCAGTTTTTGCTTTTTTGGTACCAGGGATTTAACTTAGGGGTGTTTAACCACTGAGCTACATCCCTATCCCTTTTTATTTTATTTTATTTTTTGAGACAGAGTATTGCTAAATTGCTTAGAGTATTGCTAAGTCACTTAGCGCTTCACTAAGTTGCTGAGGCTGATTTTGACCTTGTGATCCTCCCGCTTCAGCCTCCCAAACTACTGGGATTACAGGCATGTCCCACTGCACCCAGGCTGCCAGTTTTATATATTTACATTTGCTTGGATCAGGGGCCAGCTCCTGCATGAAGCAAGTGGTAACTCTAGCCAAATAAGCACAGCGCTCAATGCGTGTGGTACTGTGTGGTGCGTGTACATGTGTACTTCATGCGCTGGTGAGGGCATGCGTGCTTGAAGGTATGTGAAGCCCAGTGTGTGGGTCTAGCACATAGTCCTGCAGGTGTGTCACAGTAGTGTCTCTGAGGTATAAAAGTCATTGTGTTTGGGTGCATGTCTGGGAGAGTATGGCTGATATTCAAACCCCTTCTTGCAAGGCTTTTGCATTTAGAAATCCACACAAGCCTGGTCCCATCCATCTTTAAAATAGACAATTGGAGAGCTGCCTGTTGATCAGGACGCACACAGACAGCACAACACTTTTTCTGAGTGTGCAGCAACTCTTATTTGGGTAAAAGTTTGGGCTGTGAAGGAACACCCACCTGAGAGGGCCAGGAATTCTTCTGGGCCTCAGTCCCTCCAACCACCCGAGCATTAGTTTCTGGAAAGTTCGGGATGCTGTTTCCTTTGTGGGACAGAAGAAAAGTGAGTGATGACTAAGCATGGGGTCAACCCTGGGTGGAAGTGGGGGTGGGGGTGGGGAGTGGTGGTTGTGTTTGAGGAATGTTAGCTTTGTCTGCAAATTCACAGCTCTTTCCTAACAAATGAGGGGCCCAGCTCTGAGTTCTCTGAGTTCTCTGAGCCTTTTTTTGAAAGTAAGGGAGTCTGCAGTGCCAGAAGTCCCAGGAGTCCTGAAATTCTGTCTTGCTGTGAAGGACCTATCCAAAATCACCAGGCTAGGGACTAGAGGACCCTGTGATCTTAGCTCACCCAAGGTCACCCCTGGGCTGGAGAAGAATCCTCTCCCATACTTTAGCAGGATTCTCCAGGGGACAGGGACAGACATGCACATCCCAGGTGGGCACTGGCTGAGGATGTCCTCTGGCGAAGGAGGCTGGTGGAGAAGCCCAGGTACCCCCAGAAGGGGCTTCTTTCTGCTTCATGATTCAGAGAACTGCCACCCAGAAGGGTCTTACCATGGCCCTCATCTTTCCTATCATGTGCTCCAGAAAAGTAGAACTTTTGCTGGATTCACAGGCAGAGCGTCCCACTCTCCTCTGGGATAGGCAGCTGGCTCCAGCATCAGGAAGGCTTTCCCACCCTCCGGATCAAACCCCCTTACTGTGGAACTCAGGTCAAATGATCCACTTACCATAAAGGACTAGGGTGGCGAACACCAGGAAGCACAGCATGTTGCCAGCAGAGTAGACCACTGTCCCTTGCCTTGAGCCAACCTCTTTATACACCTCTTATCAGCAGCTTTGCTGACCTTCTTCCTGCCAGCTGGCAGGGCTGTGGGTGGAAGGCAGGGAAAAGCACAGGTGACATGGAAGTACAAATGAAAAGATTTCTTTTCAAGTAAACTAATTAATCTGTTCTTCAAAGACAGAAGAAAGTTGGAGCTCAATTAATCATCTGCTTTCAGTTGAAAAACATCCAACAAAATTTCAGAAATAAAATGGAGAACCAGGATGGCTTTCCCCTGGGGTGCACCCCTCATCATCCTACCTTGTCATCCGTCACTGCTCCCACAGTCCTCCAAAGCACCACAGATGCAAAGACCTGCCTGGTGCACGAGTTGATGAAGGCAAGGAGGGGGGAGTGGTCAGTAAGAGGAAGGAGGAGTTAGTCATGGTGGTGCACACCTGTAATCTCTGCTACTTGGGAGCTGAGGCAGTGAAGCAAGAACAGAGATCAGGCAGTTAGTGTAAATAGATGATCAGGTCAGGAAGATAGAAGCTGAATGGGGTCTGGAAGATGGAGGCTGATTCAAAGGAAATGGAATGTTAATATCTTCAGGACACATTCCCTTCACTCATGGCCAAGTCACTTGCCACTGGAGTACTGAAATGCTAATACCTTCAGAGTCCTCTCCCCTGCTGCAACCTGTTGTCAAGGTGATCTCCTTCCAGGGAATTGTTCCTCCCAACAAGGGGCTGTTAATGAATGCCTCCTGGGCTGCTCCCTTTCTTCCTGGACCACTGGGCATTTTCATTCCCACTCTTGGCCCACCTTTTGATCATGAGTCACTTTGGTCATGGGTCATGTAAGCAGGATGGGGAGTGTGTGAGAACAAAGAAATTCTAAAATATATAAAAGGGGCAGGACACCCCCACTTCTTCAGATACCCGCTATGGACCCCTTCTTTCTCCTGGGAGAAGTCTGTTTCCATCCTTTAAATAAAACTTGCTTTCTATGCTTTCTTCAGTGTTTCTCGGGTGTTCAATCTTCACATCTGGGGAAAAGGAACTTGGCTGTGATTGATTCTCATCACCAGCCAGATCTCATTTGGAGGTCCCACCAAGATCACCACAGAGGTATACTCCTTCACATGCACCCCATATCTTTTCTTTCTTTCTGGAGTACGCCCCTTCCCTCACAGATCAGATTCTAGTTATTCGGACTCTAGGGTTTTGAGGGAGGGACGTGGAATTGTTCTTAGGGAAGTGCCTGGGTTCCCTTTGTTCATAGCATTTACAGGTAGTCGAGATTCTCCCCATTGTTGTTTCGATGTGCTTTGCTGCCTTCTTTGACTACAAAAATGGAGATTTATACCCACAGCCTTATAACAATTCTTTTGATCCACAGTGAGCATAAACTCTTTATTCCAGCCTTACCCCCTAGTGTTCTGCTGCTGCCAAATGTGATCTCAATACCAACCGTCTATGGAATAGAGAATCATGGCCATTAGAGGGAAATATAAATTTTAATACCATTCTACAGATCAGCTTGTTCTGTAAAAAAGGAAGGAGATAGTCTGAGGTTCCAACCTTGTTTAAGATACCCAAATTTTGCCAAAAATGTAAATTAGACTCAGCTATGATCCCCATTCTAAGTGAGGCCAAATTTCCCTTCCCAAAAGTTTATTAACCAATGGGAGGCTCAACACAGACAGATCAAGGTTCATTTCAAAAACATGCTGTATGTTCTCCCAGGGAATTACAAGTCATACTGTAAGCACAAATAACCGAGGCAAAAGAAGACCTCAACGTATTTAGCAATGCCGTTTATTAAGCACTGGAGGGGCTCATTTTGAGGTAGAAAATGGCTGCTGGTTACAGAAAGAGTCTGTGTTTTATAGTTTACAATGAGGGTGGCTTAATCACTGGAGACTGAAGCAGAACCTGTTGGTTTAGGCAGTCGGAAAAAGGTTGTGAAAAGTCTGAAACTGATTGTTACTGGGAAGGGATGAAAGCTCAGAGCCCAGTGCTCATTGGTTATCTTCTTCCTCCAGGATCCATTGTACCCAGAACTTCATTATTTGCTTTTCTCCTTCCAGGACTCATCAGCAATGAGAACAGTGAAAGTCCAGGGTCCAGGGCCCAGCACTCAGTATCTGCCTCCTCCCTTCAAGTCCCATTGTCACTGGAAAGGGATGAATGTTTGCCTTTTTCTTCTCTCCTTCATCCAAGGCCACACTGTCCTCCTTTCTTCCTGGGCTGTTTTGGGGAATGTTACTTTCATATCCTTACATTCAGTAAAGGTGGATAGTCCCGAGGCTTGCATCTTTTTCATGGCCACCCATGAAAAAGCACAGGGTTCATGACCAAACTGGTAAGGCAGCAGTTAAATCCAGAGGTCACACATGGAAGGATGGGTAAAGAGGCTCCAGGAATACAGACTCTGATATCACAGAGACATCCCCTAGCCAAAGAGACAGTTGCTCAGCCAAAGAGACTGTTGCTCAGTGTAGGCACTTATGGGATCTGTTCTCTTTCCCTGCGTTTTTTGTTTTCATGTGTTCAGAGGGAAGTCTCATCCTCAGAAGTAATGGGAGAGGATGTCTCATGATTTTCTGCTTTCAAACTTGCCTTGATTACCAACTGAGGAAATAAAAATAGTTTAAAAATGCCCTCAAAACAACAGTTTCCTTTACTTAGTTTATGCCAGATCTATCTCACCAAGTCTTGCATTAAAATGTAAATTGTGGAGCCCTGGGAAGCTTGCAAATTTCCACAGGAGTCTGGTTTAGGATGGAGATAAAAAAAATGTGGATTTTAAATCCTAGCAGCTTGAGAGACATAAATGGCTGGCTGCAGCACAGGGAGGAAAAGTAAAATAAATGGTCAAGTCTTCTTTACCTTTAGAATTTTTACCCAAGGATTTTAGGGCTTTCTCTCTTTCTTTCATCTGAACTCACTTTAATCTGAGCCAGAAGTAAACTCTGATCTGATAAAAATGTTCTGCATGCTTCTTTACTAGAGTAATTAACCAACACGTCATTTTCACCCCCTAGAACTCTTGTTTTTTTTTAAATTCTATATATTTTTGAGCTCATGGTTTTATGGTGAATTCACATTTTGATTCTGCATGCCTAAATTAATATGTTTTCCTGGCCAGTCTTATTTTATCTAATTATAGTGGTTTTTACACTGTTTTGTTCAGAGGCCAAATATTTCAAGGATTAGCTCTCAATCTAATAGAGGCTTTAGTAAATATCCGTAGCATTGCAGTGGAGCTCTACCCACAATGGTCTTTGTTTCTTGTTCGTTTTGTGTAAGTGTGCACATCTGTGTGTTGTTATGTCTACATGTGCCTGTGTCCATATATCATGTACATGGTATCAAAATTGGCATATAGATAAATGGGTGCTCATAAATTAAAATTTAAAAGTAAAATGAATCCAAATACCCCTAGTTCACGTGATTTTAAAAGTTCAATTTAAATTAGATAAACAAATGAGAATAAAGATGTCTTTAAAATTACTAACTCACAAGTTTTTCTAGGTGGTCAGAAAATGAATAGAATGTTAATTTCTACAAAATGTCTAGAATGTAATGTCCTTTGTTTCTAGGATTTTTCTTCAACAAGGAAGAGATGGCTAATACTGTTCATTACACTTGTCCGATATCTTGGCTTTTACACTTAGAAATAAGTAAATTAGGAGATAGGGATGTGGCTCAGTGGTAAAGTACTTGCCTAGCATGTGTGAGGCTCTGAGTTCAATCCCCAGCACTGCCAAAAAAAAAAAAAAAGAAAAAGAAAAAGAAAAAGAAAAAGAAAGAAAGAAGTAAATTAGATTTAATATCAATAGCTAATTCACAATGGAGGCAGGGGAGAAAAGTGGTATTTTGGACTAAACAGAGCATAGTGAAGGTAGGGGAGGGGGCATGGGGGTGGGAATAATATTAGAATGAATTGGACTTTATTACCCTATGTGCATATATGATTACATGACCTATGTAACTCTACATTGTGTACAACCAGACAAATGAGAATTTATACTCCATTTACATATAATGTGTCAAAATGCATTCTACTGTCATGTATAACTAATTAGAACAAGTAAGTAAATTAATTAATTAATTAAAAATATTTAACACAATGGGATTAATCTTCATAAATCCGTTTGTTAAGGAGACACCTGGTTAACTTAAAAAGTCACAGTGCTAACTGATAAATATAAAATGAAAACACTTGATATCTTAAATTCCATAAGGTAATTTATTTAAATATTATGTGGGTTTTCATAAAATGGGTAAAGGAAAAAGGTTTAAGATTGTCGTATGTCAATATGTATATGGGGTAAAAATGGGAGTTCATAATCTGCTTGAATCAAATGTATGAAATATGATATGTCAAGAGCTTTGTAATGTTTTGAATAACTAATAATAAAAAAAAAGAATAAAAAAAAGATTGTCTTATGTCTAGGCCTTCACTAAAGCAAGGTTACTAAGAGTTAAAGTTCTAACAGGTGTAATTCTATATGCTAAGGGTCCAAAAAGTTTCAACTGTGTTACCATTAAAGCATTGTAAATAGTATAAAGTATTTCATCTTATTAAAGTAATTTGTCTAAATTCAGAAATTTCATAAGTGTTGTTTCAGAGTATGAATTAAGAGAAAGGATCAACAGCTAGGAAAGAAAGTTCTAGGTATGGAAATATATTTTAATATAGAAAGTAGATGGAAAAAGAAATGTTTCTGGATAAGAAAGTCTTTTATGTGATAAAATAAAATGCCTAAGCAAAGTTGCAAAGAGTTCATGAAGGGTAAATTTTAAAAAGTTAGTTTGTGTATAACTAAGTTGGTTATATGAATATAAGTAGTATAAAGAGTTAAAGCTATTCAAGTTTTCCCCTTAAGGTCAAATGTTAATGTACTGATATAAACCAAAGTTTAATCTTTGTTGAAATAACAAAGATTTCTTATCTCTCAAGATAATCTGTTGTTTTATTCTTTAGAGAAACTAGT